AACTTTCTAGAAATACCATATGTGCGACCCACCAATGACTTGCAACCTTTAATTTTGGCCCGCGAGCGGCATAAGGTTGCCCACCCCTGATTTAAAGCCATCCCAACTGTCTTCATTGACCATATTGTCATAGACAGTTATGTGCATATTCTCTGTCTAAATATACGGTTCAGTTCGAAAAATAGAAAGGATAGACGCTAACGATACAAATGATCCGAATTTAGATTTTTTATGTACAGTAAAATGAATAAAGAATATTAAAATAGTCTGCCGTTTTCAAGCATTGAGAATTTACTTATTGGACACGTAGTGGACATAACGATCGTTTCAATATTATGTTGTTGTTGTTCTTGTTCTTGTTGTTCTTGTTCTTGTTCTTGTTCTTTGACACGTTTTTAAAAAGTCGCTTTTCTCTTCGAATACTGGACCAATTGCTTTGAAATTTTCAGTGGTTAAAGATTAATTTTTTCGCTAGAAGGCTATTACTTTTGTTTATTCTTAAATTTTATATGAATCCTATGAGATATGATATTTCATACAAAATTTCGCGGTATTTATTTTTACTTATGGGAACACTGTTTTACACTTTAACTCAAGCGGTTTCGCGATCGATTGTCTTGCTCAGTACTACAGCTACTGTAGGTCGGTACTGGTAAGTTGCCATACAGGTACCGTAACGCAGTGAAATTGACTTATTCCTTCCGCGGTATTACTAATGCTGCAATGCAAGTTTTATAGCCTATCGTATGCGGAACGGAATATCAGACCTACAGGTTCGGTACCGGTACTGGTAGCTCAGTACGTAAGTACGATACTGGTACTGGTGCCGGTACCTGTGTCTTACCACAATGAAATTACCGTAACTTATTCTTTCACGGTCCTACCAGTGCAGTAATGCAAGCGTTGTAGCACTTGTAGCCTACTATATTTGTTTATTTTGATGAGAGTCTACTGGAAACAACATAAAATTTGAAAGGGAAGAATTGTTCTGTGATCAATTATCTGTCCTAAAGTGTAAACAACATAAAATTTGCAAGGGAACAACTGTTCTGTGATCAATTACCGTATATGGCCTACAGTGTACAGGTAAGATGCTGGCTGACTGCTAACCGGTACTGGTAGCTCAGTACGTAAGTACGATACTGGTACTGGTGCCGGTACCGGTGTCTTACCACAATGAAATTACCGTAACTTATTCTTTCACGGTCCTACCAGTGCAGTAATGCAAGCGTTGTAGCACTTGTAGCCTACTATATTTGTTTATTTTGATGAGAGTCTACTGGAAACAACATAAAATTTGAAAGGGAAGAATTGTTCTGTGATCAATTATCTGTCCTAAAGTGTAAACAACATAAAATTTGCAAGGGAACAACTGTTCTGTGATCAATTACCGTATATGGCCTACAGTGTACAGGTAAGATGCTGCCTGACTGCTAACTCAGTACCGCTTGACACGTTTTTAAAAGTCGCTTTTCTCTTCGAATACTGGACCAATTGCTTTGAAATTTTTAGTGGTTAAAGATAAAAATTTTCTCCAGAAGGCTATTACTTTTTTTTTCGCTATGACGTCATCAAAATTATGTGACTCTACGTGTCCATATATTTGAGCATAGCTCTCTTGTTCGCCAAAGCATGCTTTTCTGTAGATAACACCTTCAAAAAGACGTTGTTCAATGTTACATTCACGTGAACGTCCAAACAGGACCGATTAGAATTGATTTTTACATGTGATATACGTTCGCTAACAATGTTAGCGGGGAACAACGAAAAAACAAAACGAGAATATCGGTCAGAGACCGAAGACTTATCGATCGAAAGTTAGGCTATCCCCCAAAACAGCGCTCTTACTCCATAGTGACACCTTGTGTCCCATCACTAATTAATTGTTCACTCGCTAATTTTACGACATAATTCATCCAAAATCAATAGGCTTCTGGTCCGACATATGATAAATGCACATGCAAAATCTGGAGCAGATTCAATCCTGCTTTCGTCAGATATCGCGTGCATCTAACAGACAGACATACAGACAAGTACCTATCAACGTACTTACCGATTAAAATCGATAAGTAATTACCGATTAAAATCGATAAGTAACAAGAGAGCTATGCTCAAATATATGGACACGTAGAGTCACATAATTTTGATGACGTCATAGCGAAAAAAAGTAATAGCCTTCTGGAGAAAATTTTTATCTTTAACCACTGAAAATTTCAAAGCAATTGGTCCAGTATTCGAAGAGAAAAGCGACTTTTTAAAAACGTGTCAAAGAACAAGAACAACAACAACAACATAATATTGAAACGATCGTTATGTCCACTACGTGTCCAATAACGCATTCACCCTCAGTAAGTAGGCTAGCGATGCGCTACACAGCGAAAACAGTATCGAGAAGATGTACGTGTATTATGCTGGATGCCTGAACGCCAAAGCGGGACTTCTGTCTGACTTGTCGGGACGGACGGGACAAGCCGCTAAAAAGCGGGTCTGTTCCGCCTAAAGCGGGACGTATGGTAAGCCTAGGCCTAACTCCAATCTGGTACACAGACTACGAGAGTACCAAATAAACTGCGCTTCGCCCTCTGCCGAAGACTTAGGTGAAATCTTCGCCGTGGTATAAGGCAAAAACAATTGTTTCCACTTATATCTCTTGTGGGGTCACCATATTTGAAAAAGCAAAATTCCGGACAGGTCATGACTATTTTCATGACCTCGTAGTAAAAAATATGCGCACGGTACGAAATAACAATGTTCTTTATTAGCAGTGTGCACAGTACGATTGCAGATGCAGTAAAATTCCGGATTCCGGGCATTTAAGCATTTTTTAAATTCTTCCCGGACGCTCCCAACTCGAGTATAATTGTTTTTGAATACCCACAAAAAGTCGCATATAGATCCATATGTGGCGCACTGGGTAGTAAAATAGACGAAAAACAGGCCAAACGAAGAAAACTGCAACACGAAGAAACTTTGGAAGCATAAACGCCTAAATGGCGGCGATCAAATTGTCCCGCGCTGCGAAAACGCAAAACGATAGAGAAGATTGTTCCATGTATTTCCAGTTCAGTGATTACACGTTACTGCTGTACTAATTATTTACGTGATGGGATGTAAAAATAATTACGAAGTATGAGGTAGCAAAACGTGAATTAATTGGAACGTAACGTAATCAACAGGAACGCAAATGCATTGAGATGTCCAACAACCGGAACGCCGTTCCGGCTACAGCTCACCACAATATTTATAATTGCAACCCCTGTACGAAATCAGTTGACGCTAGCAATTGTCGATGCTGTCAATTCACCCTTTGGGAATCGCTGAGTTACGTGATTGCTTGCTATTATTGTCACGGGCTCGCAGAATTATGTCAGTGAATATATATTTCCTGAAGCGATGTATTACTTACGTTACCTTTAATTTCAGTTCACTCGGAAACTCGCTAGAACTCATTGAGCTAGTTATATCCAACGTAAAGGCTTGAATTAGGTTAAGATATTCAAGAGTGTGCTTATACATACTTGTGAGTATGTGGTATTGAACGCTACAAGGGCTTGCTGTCACTAGTAGACGTCGAATTGTTTTTTGTATTCCGAGGTCACCTGTTGAATCCGCTGTATTCAGAATATATAGTAACTCTGTTTTAGCGGCGATGGCATTGTGTCAGCAGACAATGGGAGTGTCGAGGAGTATGCTGGTTAGGCCAGTTTTCACAAACTGGAACGAAGACGGAATGTATCATATTTCTGTTAACCGTTCACGCTTACAAAAATGTACTGCCATTTAGGCTGTAGTAGTTTTATTAGTCAGACAAGAGAGAAAAAGTTGTATTGAAATTGCTGAAAAGATAGAGAGCACAAAATTAATCCGGCGATATTGTTGTATTTAGCAGAATTAGCTATATTCTGTTTCTGATGTATTTAGGAATACTGACGACGAGACAAGACATGTTTAGCAAACAATTTCAGCCGTTTTCGACGATTTTAGCAATTTTTATTCAAATTATGTACTGATCTTCTTTATATTTATATATACTCTGAGCTAATCGAAAAGTGTAGATTTTCACGTGGTATCGTAATCCAGTTCACATAAATGTGTCAAATCTTCTCTAATTGAAGTCAACTAAGCCTACACGTTATAAAGGCAGTAGCTGATATTTCATTGTGAAATGCCAGATAATACAAAATGATAGCGAGGAACACCGTGGTTTACTGTGTTAGGTATACATTACGTGTTACAACATGGTCAGCCGCCTATCGGGACGATCCAGATTTTTCTTCAATGTTTGAGGCATAATTTCACACATTCGAGACTGTTATGATCCCTGGTGATCTCGGACTTCTTAGTGCCGTATTCGTCTATTTCACATAAAAATAAATTATTCAGTAACCAACGTAAAAACACTAAAGTAAAAGCAGGAATCTTGAGCGATTGTAAGTTGTGAAAGGGTATAGTCTACTCTAGTCTAGACTAATTTAATTATTAGAAATTCGTGTTTTCAATTTTTCGTGCTGATGTTGCAGTACCTCGACTCAGGAGAATACTTCAATTCAAATTAAATTGGTGTGATTGATTACAATAAAACATACTATTCAGGGATCTTTTTATATAGTCTCAGTGACTGACAACTTGTTGCTGTCAAATATCATACTACTGTATATGCATTGCAGGATTTAGTAATAGTAATGAAGTAATATTTCGCACTAGCCATTTGCGACATATATCGAAGTGAGATTTCGACAAGCAAACTATCCATCTCTCAGCCAAAATGAAACGTTTTCAAACATTCGAGACAAATTACAAGCCACAATTCTAATAATATATGCCTCTTTGAATACTATATAACATCACTGGGAGATGACGTTAAATATAGGTATCAATAATACTATAAGCCTTCTCATATATCTGTATTATACTGATGGGAGTATGGGAAATTTGTACGTTCAATCCCCTTTACATACTTGATCACTTGAAATATTATTTTCCAAAGAAATATGAAAATGTTATGCCCATAAATTCGTACATATAATTTGCACGTAATAATTTTAGTTAGCAATAGGTTATGATCATAGCAATTCAAAGTTTGAACAGCCAATGAAGATGTCAGTTGACGTCTTTGGGCTATTGCTGATATAGTCATCATGACTCTTGTTAATGGTACATCGAATAAACAATTACAAAGGGTTGTTCTGTTGCTTGCTGTCGGAACATTATTTTCGATTTTTGTGTTCCTGTTGAACCCATTTGGAAAATACCAGTTAGTATGGAAATACGATGATAAAGCTTCGGAAAAGATTGCAAATGTAAGAATAAATGAAGATGTAATTTCTTGATTGCTATTAGGGACATAAGACGACACTCCTTATTCTTTTAAAATTTGCGACATACTGTCGTTTTTTTTAATAATTAATATTAGTAAACAAATTTCCATTTCTTTTTATACTCTATTCAAAAAACAAATCAACTGCGTTTTGTGAACAAAAAATTTGACTTATCGTATCATATATGAAGGACACACATATAGTTATTATAGAAAAGGCACTTTCGGACGCTTTGCCTTGTATTGATCTGAAATCAATGCGAACTGGTCCGATATAAGCACCAATCCAGGCACAAGTTCTGATTGTTTTCAACTTGATATAGACATATATTCAATTATTTAACATATTTTCAGGAATGAAAGCAATTTATTTATTTTCTGGATTATTTTGGTTGATTTTATTCCCAACGTAAAAAAAAAATAACTAAAATGGTTAACCGTTAACCGTCAACAAATTGCATATAATATTACGGTTATTCAGAAAATGATGTTGCATTGAATGCCTCATATAGATCAGCATTCTCATCGCGCAAATCTCGCATTATGTACTGTCTCAATATAAGTAAAATTGTTTAAAAATCTATCTATTATATACAAGAAGTTTATAAGGCTTAATATACGCAAGTATTATTGTTATAATATTAAATAAGTTGTACTATTATGAGTTATGTGTATAAAATTTGTTGGTAAATGTACAGCTTATACACTGACCCACTTTCTTCTTCAATATCGACCGCGAAGTTTTATCATTATTGGCTTTAAGGCCACTCATTACATGAAATATTCTGTTCCAAACAATTCCATCGACCAAGCCTGCAAACGGACCGATTGTTGGTTGCGCCAAGCTTTAACGAACATGATCAAGCCGCTTCCAATACCAATAATTTGTCTTCTGTTATTACACGACTCATGCTCGACTTCCTCCTGGATTTCCAGCTGGTCTATTTTTATTGGAATATTTTGTCATCCACCCACCAGGCTAGATCAAGTTTCTTTAATCACATTTCGTTAAAGCACAACCCCAAAAAATGATAAATGAAGCAACAATATGGTAATAAATGAACTCAAGTTGACTACTTTCGTGGAGTCATATTTTGGTATTTCAGCTTGATTCTGATTCCCCTTTTTGTATTTTTCCACCTCTGCTCTTGTTTCAAATGTATTTGGCGTGTAGTCATGCACACCAATAACAACAAATTGCTGTTTTATTCTTAAACTAACATGAGGTAAATAAAAAATAATAGTCGTTTATGTAATATTTTAGATCCGAATCAGAGGAAAAAGCAGCACAGAATTCAGTGAAAATATCAACTCAACTACGGACTTACAATTTAGTACGGTTAAATTTACAGAGAATCACCACACAACCACGCCGGCAAACAAATTAGACTACGATGCACTTGAAAAAACGGCATTAAAAAAATTGAAGGAGTCCACTAATAAAAAGGTCAGTTTAAGTGGAACGCTCAATATCATTTGAGTCGCAGTGAGATTTATCCAAATTCGCCGCATTTGTTAGAATATTGTATTTCAATATCTATAATATATAACCATTCAAAATACTTTGCACAAAAATGGTAAAACTGAACAAGAACATAAACGCCAAATGGACTTGTACATGAATTACAATTTCACTTACTTTATGAATTTATTTTAACTAAATCCTTTAAGAATAGGCTCGAAAGATTCATTCAAAATTTCAAAATGGAACTGGTAAAAAATGAAACGGTGATAAATATATTTAAAAACTCTAGTTTATGGCAAGAAGAAAAAGTACGAGTTAGGCAAATATTTAAGTGAGTACCTAACGTCCATATCCCTTTGCAACTATTCGTCGCTTACCTGTTGTGAATCAACCGCGCATAACCAAGCTATTCAAAGAATTATTAGGCCTATCCAATAAAAAATATGAATGCGTCGGCTTGAACAACGATGCTTTTTGATTATAGCCATCTTCGGCCAATAGAGAGCACCAAACACTAAACAGGTTTTAGTTTTGTCCTTGATGCAGATCGTTTAAGTGTGTGTTATTCATAGATGTATTCACAGGCCGATGATAGGAATTGTATAGTTCTGTAGCTCCCCAATACTGCTTTGTTGAACGGCTTATCTATTGGTGCGATACCATGGTCATGTGATGTCATTATTATCCAATTAAATCAACACTTAAAGCTCGTTCCAAGAATTCGATGTCAGCACATGTACACCACGAAGGTTACGAAAAACTGTTCTTGTGTTGTGAGAGAGATTAGTTATTAATGCCCGTTTGATCTTTTTCTTCAGAATTGTCAAGCATTGAGAGCAAAATTCGAAATGTCTTATTCAAGTTTTTCTCGCACTCATGTATGATCATAAATCAGAAATTGATATTACCCATAGCATCTTCACGATAGAAATAAAGATGGAAATTTATTCAACGGAACTTCATCCATGCAAAACGCTTTAAATAAACATCACGCTTTATTCAAATTGCTTCAACAATAAGCATTCAGATAATTCGATACCATGTAGTACGCCCAAATCTTCAAATTTCCATTTATTCCTCGAAATTGAAGTAGTTTCGTCGGATACGAAATCGTACCATAATGATAATCCATAGATGTACGCATTACAATGAACACAAATAAAAATGTGTACATTATTCAATAACATAATTTTACATGCCAAAGAATATTCCAATCCATTAAATAATCACTTGTGCTGGCGTTTTACCAGTAAAAATTGATGAAATGATACCAACACAAACGTTGTGATGTTGTCTTTAACTTAAACAGCTATGATTGGTACACTACTACAAAATACCGACCTTACAACTTTTGACAGGTTATAATAGTTTGGTACAAGACTGGAATAGGGGGTGGTCAACCACAAGTTAACAGAGATGAATGTGGAAATTGCGAATTCACGCGGAACCGGACAATGGTAAGACAAGTGGCTCAATTAGTTTTTTTGGTCGCATTTTTTTGTCCGGTGGCCTGGCGTGTAATATTTGATTGTGTATTCAAGCTTCTCATTGAGTAAGACACAATTTTTGCATTTGATGATTACGTTATAGGTTATACCTACAAGTTTTAATATATATATTTAAATTCAGTAACATTTTCTGCATTAAGATATCGAACAACGCAACAGCTGCGTTAGTATTCTACTATAAAGATATATCAGTCAGCACCATGCCACCGATTTCAGAAAGGTATACAACATTGAAATCAATATTCCTTGTATATTAAACTACAGATGTACATAAGATGCAGGGGTGCCAAAATTTGAATAACTATCACCAGTAAACAAATATCCATTTTTTATGTTTTATTCAAAAAACAAATCAACTCACGTAAAACACAACTGGGTCGCCTATAACCAAGCTTTAGTACGCACTGAATAAAAACAATCTTGGGAACTATTACCTACTGCACTATGCCAGTATCGATTTTTCGTACTTGTCTCATAATCCAAACTAAATTCATTATTTCAACATGCTTTTTCCTGCGTATGCATTATAGTCGTCATTGTGTCCCACTTATCTCACACATGTCCCAATTGTATAGAGTTCATTCATATGAATATTCTAGCACAGGGTGGTCCAAACCCAGGCCCGCAGGCCACATGTGGCCCGCCGCTTCATTATCTGTGGCCCGCGTCACATTCGAAGAGTAATCAAAAAATCGCATTTCGTGTGGTTTCGTCATAAAATTAATCAGAAAAATCTTTTGACATATTGTCGTCACTAATGTCACTGAATTAAATCGTGTTATGGCTAGCTGAGGCAACTAGCGAAGTTAAATAATGTGCTTGTTAGTCTAAATTGTTATCTGGTTTCCTAACTTTTTGGTCGGGATTATATGCTAACAATATAGGCATCAGAGAAAACTAAAAATCGAATGCGGCTTCTATTAGCCTAGAATGGCTATGCCTGATAACTATGTGTTTGCACAATAAAAGCGTTTGTTTTGTATTGCACTGTTTACCTATTCTTGGCTCTATTGTGCCCCGCGAACAATGCAAAAATAATTTTGTGACCCGCGGAGCCGAACACCTTGGACCACCCTGCGTCTAGCATATGAAAACTGTTTATAATTTATTGCAATTTGTATGTCTTGAGCCTAATTTCAGTATGGTGAAAAATAAACTACTGATTACTGTGTCATACCTGTCCTAATTCGGAAGATGGAATGAATTATCACATAATTAATTAAACTAATTGATTTTAAAGAAATCCGAATCACATGTATGTATTTTGGAATAAAGAACCGACGCCACTCATGAGATACGTCCATCGTAAAGAATTAGATTTTGAGGAAAATTATCAATTCAACGCTACTATGACATATAGGTAAGTAAAATTTGTATTAATTCATAGTTATTGCCTCGTCATTTATTGAAAGGTTTTTGTTCTTCACAAATAAAACATATACGGTCTGGAACATCAAACTACACGGTGAACGAAAACAAATATTGGTATCAATGACTCATTTATTACCTAACGTTATTAAATAAATTGTACACACGGACATTCTTCTTCAAATAAAATCTACTTATAAACAGACCTTCCAAACTTGTAAACGTACTATTTGGAATGAAATTGTTGACTTTTGTTGTTTCATCAATGATAAAAATGTACAATACCGGCCGATGTCACGTTTTCAGATCTGTTTATGATTAACAGATGGTATAACTTTCAGGGTAATAAACTAGAATTCGGTTAAAAACCGAAGACTTATCAATCGAAGGTTAGGGGATCCCCCAAAACAGTGGGCTTACTCCATAGTGACACCGTGTGTCCCATCACTAATTAATTAATAACTCGCTAATTATACGGCATAATCTATCCAAAATCAATAGGCTTCTGATCCGAGCTAAGATGAATGCACATGCAAAATTTGGAGCAGATTGAACCTTGCTTTCGTGAGATATCGAGTGCATCTAACACACAGACATACATACAAACAGACATACAATTACCTATCAACATACTTACCGATCAAGATCGATAAGTAATAAATACCGAATATAGCATTGATAACACCAATGAAGCAAATGGCTTCTTTAAGACGCATGAGGTACCAGTCCAAATTAGGCACTGAATTCTGTGATGTCCCTTGAAAGCTTTTTAAGTATTCATCGTGCATTCGATACTGTATGTCGGCCTTATCTTTTGTCATGTATGAGACTCACAGTCTTCCTACGTTAGCATTGGGAGCGATTAGATTAACCGATTAGATATATATATGACACGCAGAGCCGAATTATGACTTCTAGAGACCCTAAGCATTTAAGACTTTGGTGCCCTATCTATAGGACATAGGTGACATTCAAAATACAAACAAAATGAACCACACAAGATATGATCCATCGAAATGAAACAAAACTAACAGTACTTTTTATTTATATCTATAAGTTTTCTCATAAAGCAAAGACTTCGCTTTAATCCTCAAAACTAATCTTACATAACACATCGAAGCACCATTGGAAATTAGACTAGAAAAATTTCTGTGGTGCCTCCTCCCCGTGATGCCATAAGCGCATTTTTATTATTTCTAATGGTTAATCCAGCCCTGCTAATCAGATATGTGGCACGCGTGTCAAAATTCTCGCAGGTCGCATTACATGTCGGGAATTGTGCGGAAATCGTCATGGGCGCAGCCAGGGGGGTCTTGAGGGGCCATAAAATTTTCTTTATTTGAAATGCAATTTTGCGGCATTTGCAGTGAGACATAATTTTTCCCAATACCATTATGCTCTATTATTGAACGATTTACTGAACATTGGACTTTTCCTGGCTTGCTATCAATAATCCTTACACCAAATGCAAAGCAAATTTAAATTAGGGCTGGCTACGCTCTTGAAAGGCTTCATGCAATTTTTGATTCATCATTATTGAGGTTGATCTTGAAATTAATAGATCGACTGTTGTGATAAGTCTATTAGGTAATCACATTGCTGGAATTGAAACAAATTGACCGCGCGTACTTATGAATATTGATCAATGCAGAAAAACTGCGATTCCCATTTTCTTGAAAGATGCTACATTTGTCACCCACCTTTCGTTTCTTTCTCGTCACTGGAGTGCCTTCAAGTTGTTTTCATTTGATAGCTCAAGGCAAAACAAATGCAGAAACATTTTTTTTTTGAAAGTACTTTTTGGGAAATTTTAGTGCGTGCGTTTGAGTTCCACAATCCTGATCTAGGCATATCGCCAAATGCCTGAGTGTTTTGGATACTTAGTTGTGTTTCATTCTAATATAATTTGTAATATATAAGTTACTCCCTTCCACTCAAAGTTGTTGGTACAAGAAAATAAAAAAGCAAAAAGTTCAAACCGCATATATAAACGCATGAACGGATTGCCAATAACAGCTGATAATACCTAATTAATATTTGAACTTTCGATATATAATTCAAAATTTTGCAACTTGACTATATGTACCAGTCCTGAAAACCAAACAATCCAAAAACGAATGTAATTCTTGATATATACGATGTCGAATCCCCAAAATAACTAATCCGTTTCAATTACATTTTTTTTTGTGTTTAAAAATAAATATTTCAACATTATAACACGCTCTGCACATCCACCGAAATAAGACTAAGTTAAATATAAAGAATAAAACAGCAATGTACCCTTATATAAAAGCCAACCAAGGTGAATTGGACTCAGACAGTAAATATCACAAGTGCACGCCTTTCTATACTGTAGTATAAATTGAAATTTATAAGCGCTAAGCTGGAATCTGAGATGCAAAAACTCGAAAATCTGTCTCCGAGGTTATTTTGCCTTTGTGACGTCACAATAGTCCTACGTTAACAATGATAATTCATTATGACGAAACAATTGAACAAATACGCATATCATACAAAATCTCTATTTTTATGAGTTTCGGAATTCTTAAAATAATATCTGAGTTAACAGACAGGTGCGCAGCATTACATAAATATCTATTTTATGAAAAACTCAAAACCACCAAAAATGACTTACGCAATTCGGTTATTAGCGTGACGATATTATTTTATTTTTTACTGCGGTAATATGGAATAGATCATTTCCATTGTATAGTAGTTGTGGAAAGATTGTAGGAATATAACTGGACGGTGCTGTCGATCCACTAGTTATCATATGAAAACTTTCGATTTACGTAATTCTACATTTTAAATTTGTTCCAAATTAAATTTCATTTTTACATGGTGTCTCAGAAGTAAGTTAACACTTTTAGTTTTGATTTGCTTTCACGGTACTCATCTTAGAGCGTTCATTTCTTCAGGAAATGATATGGATAAGTAGTAAAATTTAGGTATTGTTTGCACTTTTCATCAACCCATAGAAAGACAAGGAGATTAAAACAAAGAATGAGGTGCAAAATTGCTGTTTGGCAAGAGGCATATAAATCAGTGAGGCAAACTCAGCGCCTCTTTAACAGAGAATGTAGAATTAATTTGGCTCCTATAAGACGAACAATTTATGCAATGCATCGTCAATTTATGAAAACTGGATCTGTAGTCGATGCATAAAAATCATGAAGATCAAGGGGCGGACGCCATACGGAAAACATTCAGAGCCGAATAAATTCCAAATTCTCTGTTAAAGAGGCGCGAATCTGCCCTACTGATTCATAAGCTTCTCGCCAAACAGCAATTTTGCACCTCATTTTTGGTTAAATATTCTCGTCATTCAGTGGGTTGATAAAAAATGCATACAATACCTACCTATATTTCACTACTTAACCATACTATGTTTTCTGACGAAATAAACGATGTATGATAAGTACCCAGAGAACAATTCAAAATTAAAAGTGTATACTTACTTTCGATACACCCTGTATATTGAATGAATGATTTTCTCGCTGATCTGGATTACTGAAAACTCGCTAAAATAAAAATAAAATTATATTCATTCGAATACTTCATCCAAATTAATGAAACCGTTTTCATATTTTGGGCATTATTTCGTTTTACGTCAAATTACACGATACAGTCTCCGTTAATATTATTATTTCTTTACAATTATTTCTAAATATTGTACCAAAAGTCGCATGCTTATGAATTATTTTCAATACTGGATTTCAGGGTTGAACTAATGCAGAGTCTCGCTCAGCACTGTGAAATTTGGTCAGCTGATGTATCATTTTTGCATGCAATGTCTGTATCCGAATGATTAAGTATTTGAGATGTCCATTTTCACTTCAATTTAGAATCAAGTCACAGTAGTAGTAAAATAATGACATGTGCCAAGTTCAAATGAGTCTTGCTCGACACTAACACAACATACTTCTGTAAAGTTTAGTCAGTCATACACAATTCAGACACACACAAGCGATTGCATGTATATTCAAACAATGAGGGTGTTTCTTAATTGATTAACAGTGGGAAACAGGAATACAAAGTTTGAACGAGTTAAATTACCAGTAAGTATGAAAGGTATAATCCCGGAACCGTGGACTCTAACTCTAAAGAATTCTGCCTTTTCGTATTTTCACATAACGACATCTTTATTTTTTAGAAGAGACTCGGATTTTTACAACTCTTATCGATATCATTGGATAAGAGCAGCAATTAGAAGCCGGATAAGTGCCCAGGATATTTTGAAAATGAAGAATAAATCAAGTATTGCAATATTATCAGATTGTGATTGGACTGCTGGGGCAAGATTGCGATACAAGATGCTGCTGAAGATCAAAAGTACTGGATATCCGATGGATGGATTTGGGAAATGCTTCCACGAAGGAGGAAAATTCCCGTTGGGAGACAAACAACTTGTGGAGAAAGTCCGCAATTATAAATTTTATTTTGCCTTTGAAAATTCTTACCACTGTACGGACTACATTACCGAGAAGTTTTTTCGAAATGCACTTTACGCAGGAGCTGTGCCTGTGGTTATGGGATCTAAAAAGGAACATTATGAAGCTATTTCGCCCCCAGGATCCTTTATATTTTTGGAAGATTTCAAATCCGTGGAACATCTTATTGAATATTTGCAACACCTTGAGAAAAACGACGAAGAGTATTTGGCATATTTCAGGTAATTTTCAACTAGCATTCTTATAAACTTTGCGAAAATGAGAATGGCTTTTTTTATATTATTTATTACAAGTTTCCTAATAAATCTATATTTTTTGAAGTGGAAAAAATGGATTGATACTTCTGTTGAAAAAAGCATTTCTTTAAAAGATTTTCGTGTGACATTGATATATTGCTGTGAAATATTTTATTAATAATAAAGCCTTGTTACGTGATGCTTGAAATTGTTTATGTTATGAATAAATACCCTCATTAAAAACAAACGTCATTATACTATAAGAATGAAACAGTACACACATAAACTAAAATGTTATCCGTGATAAACTAACACACAACTGATACCATATTGGTGTATTATTTTGTACTTTGTAGGAACTCCTCGTTATTCCAAAAAATATTATAAATTCATGAGAAAAAAAATAATAAATGTGAAAAAGATTAAACTGTAACGGTTCCCCGTATAGTTTCAATGTGGTAGCCAAATGTAATATGGTTAATGTTCCCACCCACCGCACAGGATTGATCCACGTAGTCTATTCTCAGCTATTTACGTTCGTCGTATCTTTAAGATACCATAAGTTTTGATGTGTACGCTTGCTAAAAAATCATCTGCATTATATGTAATTCTTTCTTCAAGATGGAGAATGGGAAGCGAAAATGAAGCAATGCCATACGATCGAAGGAAACCGTTCTTTTGTCAATTGTGTCGCACCCTGCACGGTGTCAACGTAGATGATGTTTATAATCCAAAATACAATTTTGAGAATCCAAAGTATCCTATTTTCACAAATTACACGCCAAGGAGGACAATCAAATCTTTGAAATATTATCTATTTGAAGACGAAGATCCTTACTGTATGGAAAAAAATGAAACGTTCCTTCCAATTTATACAAAATATAATATTACATAGTAAGTCGTTCAATCGTAGAGAGGGAATTACATCTCACTCAATTTATCTTTATGCATTAGCAGCGTGATAGGATTTATACTATGTATAAACGTAAGATGTTATTCGTGTCGATTACTGTTCTATTTATAGCATTATGTTAAGCAATCTGATGTTATCGCCCCTCTGACTGGTACCCTTCGCGGGTTTGAAGTGAAATCAATTTAGAGAACATTACATGCGACATGGTTACTGTACTCTTATATTACGAATACGTAAATGCCCTTCCCGGACGATTTTGTCCATCTTCCACCTTTTTATCTATAACAATTAACTCGTAAGCTGTTACCATAATCGTTCTGGTGTGGGAAACAAATGGGGTTACTCCTGAAGTATGCGCACCAAGATGTCGCACAACCTGAACTCTAACCTGATACACAACCTGACTTCAGGTTGTGCGCCATCTTGGTGCGCATACTACGAGAGGTCCCAAATGGGATATAACCAGTATGTTCCCCAGCTTTTCTCTTTAGGGGGGGTGTTTCAAAATTTAGGGGGTGGTAAATAATTTGCTATTAGAGATAAAACTAGGCTATTTGTATTCTTAAAAAAATGGTATGTATTTAAGAGACGATGTACATGGGGGGCCCCCAAGTTGATTGACGGCGAGCCAAATTCCACAGCAGAATGAAATTGTAGGGCCAGAAAAGGGGAGCGAGGAAAAGTGCGGGACGACACGGCTGGGTTTCTGAGAAATAGGCACCAAAATAGGCTCTAAGCTTGATTTTAGATACACCTAGCATCGCAGTTTGTTATGTAATAAAATCAATAATCATAATATTTAGCTGATAAAATTCCCGGGGAATAGATAACAAGCACGGCTTTCAACCGTAAATATATACTACTACGTTTCAACAAGTAATTTGCAACTGATAGTGACTAATGAAGTTACTTGCTCATCTGGCATTGTATGAATGGCTACTTATGGCTTGTTTTGTTACACATTTCTAATTTTTTTGAACATGTTTGTTTGACTTTTGTATGAATTAAATTTTGAAATACGCTCGTCAACTGATCATAATGTTGTATTCTTTCAGAACTGAAATATTTTGTTGGTAAGAAGACAAATCGCTGAAGTTTGATTCTTTTCGATAAAGAAATAAAAACGCTGTCATTCATCTAAAAAACGCCTGTTTTCAGTGCCTAGTTTTCGTTTTGTGACATCTTCAAGCTTTCTTAATATAAGGCTGATATCTAAAATACTGCAGTGTGTAATCATAATAATCATATCTATACATAAGATACCGGAATAATTCAATTGTTACGAAATAAACGTGCTTAAACTGTGGTACCACATGAAGGGTTAAACTATTTCACTCAAGTTCGGCGGGCCATTTTAAATCGTCACGCGGGCCGTAATTGGCCCGCAGACTGCGGTTTAGAACCCCTCAGTGTGAAATCGCACCTCAAAATTAGGGGGGGTGTTTGAAATTTTAGGGGGGGTGTTCACCCCCATAGGGGGGGGGGGGGTGTAGGGAAATCACTGGATATAACGGCCGCTATATAATTAAGCAGGCCTTCGGGCTTCATCTTCCAATAATTCATACAGTATATAGTATAAGTGAATCCTGTCATATCAATTGCCATGCACCACAGATAATGGCAAACTGAGTTGAACAGATATTTAATCTGAGGTATTTCAGTCGTAAATCGTTGCGGGCTCTGACATGAAAGTCATTCAGAAATAAACGGGCAAATACAAAGGTATTCATGATATGACATATTATGCCATACAAAACAGGGTTTTCTTTGTTCCCGCATTCCCAAATTTTGGAGCGATTTATGGCAATGTGGATTGGGTAATAAATTGAACAAAAATAGGGGATTTCATAATAAAACTACCTCGTTTGTCGATTCGAAAAACTGAAACGAGATAATTTTCTATCATAAAAAGCAAATTTCACTCACTGAGAAACATTCTTGGCCGAGGTTTCGGGCAACCACTGAAGTGTCAATTTCTATTGAGACTTTAAATAATTATAGCGGTGATTCGGTGAATTACGCTTAAGTAGGCTACATACCGATTAACACGAGACTTAGAGCAGTCATGTCAAAACGCAATGGTGTCCGTGGATAACGGATTCTAAACTTAACACATTTGTGTTACTATTGCAGCAACTTGAATTTAGAGAATAGTATCTTTATGCCTGCCACTACACTTCTAGCGTAACCCTATCTGATATACGAGCAAATTACAAATATGATTGTCCGGGAGATAATGAATATTAAGAGCAATTGAGGAGCAACGAGTATGAAGTGCTGGCGATGAAGAACACCGTTGATTCTGCGACCACCAGTGGTTCTTAAACTTTTTTATTCACAGAGCCGCATTTCAAACCTCGAAGTTGCGAAGAGCCGCACACAAACAACGCAAGGTAAAATAAGCAACAAACCTTAAGAGCGTATTTAAAATACCAAGTCATCGTAACAATCACACAAGTAACAACCAAGACTGGGCAAAATATTCGGATAATGAATATTCGAATGGCATTGTACTATTCGAATATCCGGTACCACGTGACCTGCGCCGCTCTGCTTGGACACTGAACTCGCGCGTCTCCAACTCAATCAAGAATTACGCGAGATTTCCCAACGGCGCTCGCTATCTGAAAAAAAAAGACAAATTTGAAAAGTCGTTCTCTTTGCGTTATGGTGTTATATCTTTGCACTTATCGTTTCAATTCCATATTTTGCAAAAAAACGTACCTACCGTTCCGTAAATATAGAAACGTCAAACCATATTAGGTATTCAAAATAAATTTCCCAGATCTTAAACTCCGCATGCTTGGTGACATGTCATTAGCCATTACTTGCGTTACCGAACATAAAGTTGATTAAAATTAAATGTTAAAATGACTTTTCGGCGTTTCATTGTGAAAAAGGCGATTTGAGGTCGTTAGAAAACTCTTATATAAATAGGATGGATTTAAGATTGACCAAAAGTTTTTCCAAAAACTGGTATGAGTTACTTGTATGAAAAACACTATTAGGTTGTAACCAGATAAGAAATGTCATGTCCTACTCCCTTTAAAGCACTTTTTATTAGCTCTTCAGTGATCCCTTCCATCATTGGCCAAGAAATGTTTTGAATAGGTAAAAATTTTGCTCGACCATGCATGGCTGTTGAGCCAAGAGTAGAACGTAAAATCAATCGTGAATTTCGTTGTAACAACGCACACTGACGAATTGTTGCGTCTTTTATCATCGAAAATGATTACAAATGTTAAGTTTTGAAGCATTTGGGCGGTAATAATTATGCCTAAGGCATGACATAATCGAAATCATTAAGTGAAGTGCTGAAGTTGCAAATTCCGTAAAGAAAATTGAGCATCACTCAGTAAGTATTTTAGCTATATATATAATAACCATCGGGGTGTTGTTTTGTTGAAAAAAAGTTAAAACTTGAAGGAATTAGTTATAACTAGAGCTGCGTGCAGCTTTAACAGGCTTCCCGCGTAAGAAAAACTGAAGACTCGTTTTGCTCACTGAAGCGTGAAAGCGTGCTCAGTCATGCATAAAATTTGCAATTTATGATGGGGGACTTATTATCTGCATGTGATTTAAATTTCAAGTCTCTAAGTAGTGTCGTTCTCGAGAAGAAGATTAAAATGTAAAATCCTATATTGCTCACTGGAGTGTATCGCCGAGGTCACTCATGCGTATCCTTGACACATCGTATCCGGAACATGTCCATTAATCATTGTTATGAATTTCAACCCAATAGCATGTATCAATTTTGAGAAATCGCAAAAAAACTGAAGACGCGTTTTGCTCACTGGAGCGTGAAATCGTGGTCAGTCATGCATAAAATTTGCAATTTATGATGGGGGACTTATTATCTGCATGTGATGTAAATTTCAAGTCTCTAAGTAGTGTCGTTCTCGAGAAGAAGATGAAAATGTAAAATCCTATATTGCTCACTGGAGCGTATCGCCGAGGTCACTCATGCGTATCCTTGACATATCGTATCCGGAACATGTCCATTAATCATTGTTATGAATTTCAACCCAATAGCATGTATCAATTTTGAGAAATCGCAAAAAAACTGAAAACGCGTTTTGCTCACTGGAGCGTGAAAGCCTGGTCACTCATGCATAAAATTTGCATTTTATTGCTAGCTGAGAACTTCTGCACATTTGAGGTGAATTTCAAGTTTGTAGGACCAATTTGAAAAAAAAATAATAAAAATAAATAAATAAATAATAATAATAATAATAATAATAAAACACAGGAATACAATAGGTTCCCTGCTGACAAGCAGCGGGAAGCCTAATTAGCGTCTGACCCTCTATTAGACACAAAGGCCTAGAAATGCCCTTATTGTCAATTTATTTAATTGCTATTTTAAATCAACATTCAGGATTCACGCAATCGATCGATGTTACTGTTCACTTTAAACAGGCACGGTTAATTTACAAGCGGTGATAAGGAAGATCAAATCCAAGGCAGAGGATAAAACTCAGAAAAAAATTTATTTGGTTAATCGCAGCCGAAACGATCGCGGTGACAAAGACAATCAGCGATTATGATAAAATAAACGCTTTATTGCCGACTTTTTAATGTTTCTATTAATTTCCAAATGGAGTATTGACCTCTGTTATGTATAAAAAATATTCAATATTCGACTATTCGGTATTCCTTAAAAATATTCAAATTATTCGATTCGAAAAAATATTCGATTTTGCCCACCCTAGGCTAACAGCCATTTAATTTGGCTTTGATTTCTGATAAGTTTGTCAAAGTGGGTCGTAATCGTAGCTGCTTGAGATGATCGCCAGATATTTCGGGACTATTTTCGATTACTGGGAAAAAATCAAATTATCATTGAGGTATTTGATTTATACCTAATATTCGGAAATGCGAAAAAAACTGAAAATCCACGAAGGCAAGCCAATGATTACAGCCATGTTTAAAATCCTTCCAAGTGAAAAGTGTCCGGGTGGCCGCGAAAACGCTTACTGTTGCGTCACCATTGCATCTTGTAGATTAGTCAACGCTACGCAAATAAACACGGGGGAATCCATTCGACTAACTAACTAACTAATAGACTCCCGCATTTTAATTTCAAGTCAATGATTAGTTTTCAATGAAAAATGTTTTTTGAAAGTAATTAATTGTTAAAGCATTAACAAGAGCCGCAGGAAAGGTTGTTGAGAGCCGCATGCGACTCTCAGACCCTAGTTTGAGAACCACTGATTAGTCATTATTTAGGGAAAAAATTGTACGAGTTATATTGTAGCAGGAGTGAACAAACTGTCTTTAACTGGGATCGACTATTTAAAAAATCTCTCAAAAAGTCTCACCCCAAAGAGCAACGTCCAGGAACGCCAAAAACAAAAGCGGGAAAGTTTGATGGTTATGTGGTCACCCCTCTAATGATTCTCGGGCAAGTCCACATCAGATTTTATATACTGACTACACACCTAGTCATCCAATAACTGTGAATTCTATGCGTAACAGTGAAGTTGGGGGAGTTGACTTGGATGAAGGTATGGTCGTATCGCTCCCTCCAGTCCCTGCCAGAAAACAACGGTGTTTATTTATTTGTATGTATGCCCTCATATTTATATTTGTTTTGGTTGACAAATCAATAAATCTATCTATCTAAAAATATTTATTAAAAAGGGGAATCCGCAACCCAAATTTCTTGATTGAAAAGCGGCATTTTAGAAATTAAAACTAAAACATAAAACCAAGGATAACACCATACGTTTTGTTTTAGCAGACTCGCGGTAGATTAAAATCGCTTTTTTATAGGCATTGTAAAACACAAAATTTGGTGATTTTTTCTCGGTATGTGACGATATATAAGATAATTAAAGTAAAGTATATATAATAAACCGTAAATATGATTAAACAATTTTTATTACAATAAAACAAATTTCAATCGTTCGTATTTTGTCCAGAATAAGAACTTGGGATTTTTCAAACGGTTATATCTTAAAAAGAATCTGAGTGGTAGACACGGCGGAGTCAGTGTGGCAAGCGCGGCTCAATTTGTCGAATTCGGTAAATTGCTGTAATCTGCCACACGGCACACAATCAGTCATGATCACGATTATGATTTAATCGGGACGGGCACAAATATCTTAATCAAACTACTGGCACCTGTAGTAGATATGATCTTTTGTGGACAGTACGGCATTGCTAAATATATCTATCTAATCTAATTATATTGTACTCGTTGAAATTTTAACACTGACCTTGGGATTTTTGTAATGGCTACACGCTACACTTACCATACGTCCCGCTTTAGGCGGAACCAAAGTGACTATAAACCAAGTGGAGACACCGAGTCCAATGATGCATAGCGGACGCGATTTTTTACTGTTTTGCATTTTATTCAGGTAATTTCTTTTTTCTTTTGCCATTTGCCCCGTGGAATCATACTGGTATCGTGCGGTTTCGTGAAAGTTGCGATAGTTATCTTATCATCCCGTTATGCAACTTTGAAACCTCATATCTCACGAACCTTAATTATATGCAGATAAGTTTTATATTGTTTGAAAGACAACCAGGAGACAAATTATAACTATAAGATGGAGATAAAATGTTGCGATTATCATAATCTGCAAAATTGAAAAGCGTGGAATTTTTTTGAAAAGCTTTTGAAATAATAACAAAAACTTCGATTTGTTCTTGTTTTAACCCAATATGACATCGACACATTTGCAGAGGTTAAAGATAGCTTTCGACATTAGATAGAATTTATCATGCACCAGTAAAATTGTACCGGTATAAGTTATTTCATTCGTTCTCCAATTCTTGACATGTCCACTGCGCCAACTTGAGTTAAACAACAACGTTCCCTAATCACTTCGTTACGCAATTACGTAGCAACGTTCTATATGAAGAACACATATCGCTTTCCTTCGCAAGTGTGAAACGTCATTAACCTAATGCATACGTTTAAATCAGGTACTATTTGAACTGGTATTATGATACCTGTTCACACCATGCCGAAAGTTTAAAGTCTGCGTTTGATGGAATGAATTTTCACGGGAAAATTTTTCTTAATTTAACGAACTGTTGCAACAGTTGCTCCAAAATTTATAGAATGTGAACGATCTCATGGCTAGCACATTGCGCGGCGTAATGAATTTCATCGAAGCATGTACATTATAAAGTACAAAATTTAAAAACCAGCCGCCTCGACTGGCGTTGCAGCTCTTAGCAACTTACTATTGGCAGGATGTTTCGATTCTTTTGCGTCGGAAAATGTGAAATATTTACTAGGTGATTTAGCGACGCCATCATGTCTTCTCCATTTTCGTTGATAAAACTTAATTGTAATTTTATCGATATCTAACAGTGAAAAATTAGCCTTGATGTTTCGTTTCCGGGGGAACCCTAAAAAGACACGGGGTTCAAATTGTTTGTTTGTTTCTATGGAAAGTGTCAATCCCGATGAATACCCACAATCGTTACCAACCCCTTTAAGGTCTTACACACACGATAAATATTTGAAAATTGATAGTTTTACCCAATATTTATGCCACCCATCCAAAAAAGCAATCGTATTTTTGCGCGAAGTATAAACTATATTTCGCGCAAATACTAATGCTTTTTATAATATATGTTCGCCTGTTACTTTTCCGACAGATGAGGTTGCTTGAAATATAATTTACCATCTTGCCACAACATCGCTTTTAAAATTTTGAAACGTTTTCTCAGTTTAAGGTTAAATATTCACGCAAAAGAGGAGACAAATAAAATTATTGAAAAACGGTATGCTCGTAGACCTGCGGCAAGAGCTCAAATAAAATAGATAATTTGATATTTTATACACTCCAGATTATTAGATGTTCTTGTAAACTTGATATACGCCGTTATCCTTCATTCCATGCATGTAGTATATTTTTTTAATATTATTTTGGCAATGTACACCTTGTTGAAAATTTGCGATACGCATATTTTAATATCATGACATGTACCGCAAAAATAGTGCAAGATTCTGTAGTATAATTTGTATTGTGGTTCTGTCACTTTGTTAAAATAGATTCTGTGCAAGTAGCGATACTTACATCGGGAATTTTATAATAATTTAATACTAAAATGTGTATCATTTTATTTAATATTTTGGTTCTATTGAGTTGTTGATTTAGTTGGATGACTTTAAACATCTGCGGGTAATTAATTTTTCAGAAGAATGTTCATTCGTTTTGCCATTGCGAAAGTTTGTTCCGAATTATTGAGCATCGTTTTTTTTTAATCAGCTGTTTAACGATCGCAGGTTTAAATCACTTAGTTAGGATCATACAGCGATAGAACCCTGGACACAAAATGGCTGGTGTGACGTCACACGAGCGCTTATAACGTTACCAATGCATGTCCTCACTTGGTTTATAGTCACTTTGGGCGGAACAGTACCGCTTTTTAGCGTCTTGTCCCGCCGTCCCGACAAGTCAGCCATAAGTCGCTCTTTTGCGTTCAGCCTTCTAGCTTAATACACGAACATGTTCTCGTTACTGTTGTTTCTGTGTAGCGCAGCGCTAGCCTACTTACTGAAGGTGAATGGCGTTTGTTTCCCGCTGATTCCCATTAATAGCAGACGTATCGCATGTAAAACCAATACTAATCAGTGTTAGGGTTCCCATCAAATTGTTTAAAATTTCAAGGACGCTAATAAATAATGAAAGAAAAATGTTCCCTTTCTTCTGCGCTGTTTTCCTCTCATCTGGGCTGTTTCTCGCTTTATTCAGTAAGTAGTAAGACTGGAATTATACCTGAGCATTAGTGCTACAGTCTGACAGTGCTAGGAATTGACTGGGAATTTTTCGCAAACAAATTTTAATAATAAATAATTTATTAGACTTAAATCATCACTTTAATTCTCATTTATCAATTTTCGAACGTAATGCTATTGTATTGTTATTGTGTACTGCACGGTATAAAATACTGAAATATGGTTGGAGCGCAATGCTGTAATTTTTCAAAATATTGTACCAAATGCTGAAATGTCAATAATGTTATAGTGAAGATAAGAAACTCTCTTTTAGCAAGGAGAAACATAGAAAAATTTAGAAAACAATGTTCTTACACAAACGAACTCGACATGATATGCAATAACTTATGACTTTTCATAACTCTTTTTTTTTCAATCAAAAAATAACTAATTAAAATCAAACTGTGGAATCAACTCGATAAACATGGATTCAATTTTATTATCTTATTTATTATTTAATTATTGAAAATTTCACTTTGTTGGAACCATAAAAAAAAAAATTAATAATTGTTTGGATTAAAGTGGTGGAAATATGATGAGCACTCACACTGTACATAGTCAAGCTGTAGAAGCACCACCATTCATTAATGCTTTGGAGTTTTGTCCTTTCGAACGTGCATCTAACCTTATAGCAATTGCTAGTAAAGATGGTCTCACAATTGAAAGCTGTGAATTTTCTGTAGAGAAAGAAGCTAATGGTGGCTATGCAAAGCAAATATCCAAAAATCTTGTTCATAATAATGTTATACTTCATAAGCTGAGAGTATGCGATCTGAATTGTCTTGCCTGGTCCCCTGTTTCAAATATAAAACATTTGCCAAACCTAATTGTGATTGCTACTGGAACTAAAACTGGAGTGATCAATGTATATACAGCAGATCTGAAGGAAGAAGCTGTGGAAAATTCACTTGAAGGCCATACTGATTGTGTAAATCATATCTCATTTGAGCCAATAGAAGGTCAGGAGCTAGCTTCTGTGAGTGACGATTACTCTTGCAAAGTTTGGGATGTCGATAGTGGTGATGTTATCGTGTCTTTCCCACTTCAGTATCCCGGTGTGAGCGTATGTTGGCACCCTGACCAATCAGGCAAATTGATGGCAGCGGAACTAGGAGGTCGAATAAGATTTTACAATGTACATTTGAAACAGGCAATACTCTCAGTTGACTGCAAAAAACACAGCTTAACTTCTGCAGACTGGTGCTGGTTGAATCACAGTAAAGTTGGAGCTAGTGCAGAAATGGAATGGTTTCTTTGGGATATTACAAAATCCTCATATCCACTTGATTCACAGCAAGCTAATTCTGGAGGTTGCAGAAAATTACTCTGGTCTAAACACCACGAAGATGTCTTTCTTACACTTGGTCAACCTCAAAACACTGTAAAAATTTACCATCTAGGTCATCGTCAACCCATTCTTCACAAAGTTCATGAAACAAGCATGTGTGCATCATGGCACAGCACTTTACCTATATGTGCAATAGCTGGAAATAAAGCTATCCATTTCTATGACACGAAAAGTTGTACACAGTTTTGAATATTGTTTAAGGCCCACAAAATTTATATATCTTAGACACTGCCAATTAGTATGTTTCTTATGCTTGTGAGATTGCAAACAAATGTATGTACCAGCGTAATATATTTTCTGGTTTTTGTCATGCAATTATTTTCAACGATTTTGAATTGACTTTATTTCCAACAAAATCATGATTTAAATTTAAAAATAAAATTTCAAAAATCTTGATTTTCAATACAGATAATTTCTCATTATCTAGAAATCCATCATTATTTTTAATTAGGGTTGAATTAATTCATTGCAGCACATCACTTGATTACTTTTCGATACTTTGTTTTCTATCTCTAGTTCCAGATGTCATTTAGAGTATTAAGATTGGATTCTCTCAAATATTATTTGAAAAAGCGTCTCCGAATCTTTTCTTTAATCATGAATAATGGTGAAACATTCAATCAAAGTGACCAGAATATATTCACACCACCATCTGGTGTGAGAGGGATGGTTGAATTAGACAGGTATGAGATATTGAATGTCTTGTAATGCGTTTTCGAATGTTTCGTAATAAAACAGAACTACTTAAACTGGCATGTTCATTTGCTATCACTTTACTTTGAATGATGGAGATTGTGGACTAAATAACCCCAAGTATACTTTTATCCTTTTGTAATTTATTTATTCTGGAAGCTCTCCTTACATTTTTAATGAATTTTCCGCAATAACAGGTCCGCATTTAAAAAGGAAGTAGATGTCAACACGATACTAGTACCTTTTTCTTCACTCAATAAGTTCCAGAAGAAATTTAAAGAAGACATTCTTAAGAGGAGAGGAGCAAATTTATTGTCTGCAGAAAATTGTGAAGCTCAAAAAAATGCTAAATTTGTTGTAATGAAACAAGACTTCAATTTCAAATCTCTTCCAGAATTCAAACAACAACTTTTAAACGATTTACAAATTGAATCAAGATTTTACACTAACAAGTTGGAAATAAGGTTATTATATCTTTGAGCAATGATATTTTGTTATAACTTCTTATCTAATAAACAATAAGTTTACTCAAGCGTTATATCGTGCTAGACCATTGATTTATTTTGGCGTGTGGTATTTAATTTTGCTATCAATTGCTATAAATAATATTAAGTTATTTGATCTTATTTAAAATCATATTCAAAAGTCTTAAATCTCTGTATAAACGGATCTCATTTATTAAATCAAGAACCTTCTTTGTATTTCGAATATCACACAATTTCAATATTAATGATTCCTAACATTTTCTGAATCCAAGTAAATATAGATACTGTATTAAATAAGGTAGGATTTTCTTTTTTATCCTGATTTAGAGAGTAGCTAATAAGATGGCTTAATGATATAGTCAACCACGGCTGCATAGTGAAGCCCGGTTGCCAGTGCATGCTGTGTATGTTAATAGTTAACTTGTCTCAGATGCAAAGACTTAAATTGTACCAAAATAGAAAGAACCTCATAAAACAAAGCCACATGGAATGACTTTAATTGTGCAATGAACTTAAATTTGACTGTATGCATATCATTGAAACATATGCCTTGTTTACCTGTTGGTAAATATATTTTCAATATATTACAGGTATGATGTATACAAGCACCAAGAAATTATTGGTGCAGTATTACCTGAAGGACTAGATTCAACATCGGGTTTTGAACGAGTCGGTCATATCATTCATGTCAATTTATTAGAACATCAAATGCCATACAAGAAATTAATTGGTCAGGTTAGTTATATCTTGGATTGAAGTTTGTTATTAGTTTGATATATCGAGCAACGGTTACTATTTTGACAATCTCATGCAAATGTTAACCAGCTTAATTTTTTGAAATGGTTTGATGAAGATTATTAATTGACTGCTTTTACCATATTTAAACTCATATTTTTCTCTCCATTCAAAGCTCATGAATGTTGATTATGGTTCTTTTTTAAATCACATTGTAATATTATGCCTCCGACAATATTCAAGTTTAACATGAATATATGTGCAACTACAGATGTTGCATCTGCCCTAGATCAATTGAGTGAATTATTGTGAGTTGTGACTGTACTTTGATAAATTATTTCAGAAGGGTTTAATAATTAAAAATAATTCTCATTCCAACTCCCAAATGTGATTGTTATCAAAACCTTATTTTCAGGTACTTCTTGACAAACACAAAGCAATCACAACTGTCGTGAATAAATCTTCAACTATTGACAATACATACAGAAATTTCCTAATGGAGGTTATTGCCGGTGAAGCAAATTTTGTTACCAAAATAATTGAATATGGCAATATTTTCGAATTCGATTTTTCAAAGGTTTGTTGTTAGTAGTGATGCAGAATTTATTAGTACTGTAGTTTTCTATTCACATACGAGTATATAAACTCTGGAGCCCCTTTTCATTCAGGTTTTCTGGAATTCAAAGTTGCAAACTGAGCATCAGAGAATAGTGGAGTTGATTCCAAAGGAATCTGTTGTCTTTGATGTATTTGCAGGAGTTGGACCTTTCTCCATACCACTTGCCAAAAAAGGTATTAAGGTAAACTACCAATCGAAGAACTCGCTGATAGTACTACCCAAAGGGTTTAAATTCGACAATTTTTCGTTATCACTTTTACAAAATATTTTTATGTATTTGTTGACTTTTGTAAGTTGTATCATGCTGTCGTTTTGGAAATGGCATGAATATAAATTATAATGATCTTGTTTTCCATTATTAAATTTTCGTACTTCAAAAATGGGATATGCAAAATTATTAAAATTCATCCACCACTGTAATACATTTCAGAATAAAGAAAAAGTTTCAAGCTACGACCCTATATGCTGAGAGTGAACATGTTCCTCAAATAACATTTCAAATTTGTTAGATTCTGTATTTAATAAATGGTTTTGTAGCAGTTTTCCCCTCCATTTTACTGAAATCAAGTTTTTTTTTTATGAGTTTATGAAAATGAATTTGATTATGACAACAGGTTGTGAAGTATATGCAAATGACTTGAATGAAGAATCATACAAATGGCTTTTACACAATTCAAAACTAAATAAAGCGAAATTGAATGCATTCAATATGGATGGCAGAAAGTTTATCAAAGAATGCTTGGGAAAACATTTGCAGTAAGTATTAGGTATCTTACCACTAGTATTCAATACCCCAGGGATGGTGACTGAAAATGAATCAACCCATCTATCTTATCAATTGCATTTTAACTTTTACAGATTGTCATCAAAAACAGAGACAATATGTGTTATAATGAATCTACCGGCACTGGCAATAGAATTTTTAGATGCATTCACAGGATTGGTCAAGAATATTAAGTATGCAACATTGATAAGGAACGGTTTAGCAATCGGAATGTTTAATTTAATTCAATAATATTTTATCATTTAGTCGAGCTGAAGACAACAAGACATCAAGTTCATTACCTCCAGTGACTGTTTATTGTTATGCTTTTTCATCTGCTCAAGATTTAAAAGGTATGATTCCTATATAATTAAGGCTTTTTGTCAAATTTAAGACTTTCTGACACAATCTTTTGCACTACTACTATTCTTAAATATGTATTTATTTTAGGTGATATTAAAGAGAGAGCAGAACAAAGCCTCAGTGAAAATCTTCCTGAACATAGTATTCGGGAAGTCAGAAAAGTTGCACCAGGAAAATACATGCTTTGTTTATCTTTTGAAATTCCTTTTTCTCTTTTATATGAACAATCAAAAAATGGTGATACAGATGAATCGGAATGTAAAAGAATAAAACTATCATAGTTCGTATTTTTGTATGTTGAATTTGGAAAAGGCAATCATGCACACATTTTATATCGATAAATACACTGAGCTGCTCATATTTTCATATTTAAATTTGAGGGAAGGCAATCCTGATAAAATGCAGTATTTTATATCCATGTGTTTTCTACTGCCTTATAACCACACTGGACTGCAGCTATATGGATTGCAGAGGCCTTGTGTGTGTACACTGTCTGTAAACTAGCGTGTCTTACATCTATGCAGTTTGAAAAGGATAATAACATACATGTTTGATGACGATTTCAGATGAACTTTAGGCTTGATGAGTAACAGTGGTTGGCGGTGAAGTCGTGGATGTCTCTGATGCGAATGGTTTTCACAGTCCAGTGAGATTTTTTTCCGGGAAAGCCAGGGACAATAATTTAGTTTCAACTCTGACATGTGACAAATGGTAGAAATTAAATTCTGAATATGATCAAATTTAGATTAACAGAGAATGAGTTTTGAAATTAATATCGTATCTTGTTAAGTTAATGCAGTTACTTGAATCTGTCTTCTGACCAGTGACTGGAGGCGAATGTTTTGAACAAAAATCGGTTTGGAACCAGGATGTTCAGATGCCCAATTTTGAATCGAGTATAAATTTTGTGTGCTTGGTTTGTTGGTAGTTGAGATCGTACGCTATCCACCAATTTCCTAACTTAATTCTAAATTATGTCCTCCATCTAGGTTACTCTGCAATTTAGTTATCTGTTTTCGCCTACATAATTGTCTTTTATCGCTTTAGAGGACCCGAATTAGGCGACAAATTTTAACAAAAATAACACGTCGTTAGACGAGAAACTTCAAATGTACAGGTTAGCAATGCAATTTGTATATGTCGCGGAATTGTTTCGAATATTTTCGAGTCTAGTCATCAAAAAGTTTAAATCTGTAAAACAAAAATCAGGCTTTCCTGAGACGTGGGTGCACCAGCCCAGAGATGCCATGTGCTATTTATAATAATTTATTGGTTTACGCTGGCGCACACGACAACGATTGCGCAACAAGTTTTGGTACAAATTCAGTAGTTGCCAGATTGTAGATTGAATCGTGGCAATTGTAGGAAGCACTGACTTGAAAATAGTTCAATTTATATTCAAAATAGTATAAATATTCAAGTTTCTCTAAAAATTTGTTCAAATTGTTTTTGAATTTAATCATTGTTTTTTGGTTTAAATCATTGTTTATCCCAAAATTGATATACCCGTTGCCATCTGGCATCTATGGAATTGTATAGTAATTTTGCGAAATTTATTATTCCATTTCAGTCTCGCAGATTCGCACGTGTGTTGCTTCTATAGTCCATTTCGCAGTTACACTTCTGTTTTCGGTGATTTTCTCCATATTTAGATTTGCTGCAACTATCCTACTCAAGGACCAATTTTCATAGGTCTACTGTGATCGTCCAAATACAAGAGATACTCATGACGCCATAGGTATTCATATGGCAGTATTGCCCAGGTGCCGTCTGGCCTTGGTGAGTTGTTAACCCTCAGAATTCGGGTTTAGTACGGTATAGTTTTGTACCACAAGTACTTCCGGTGGGCGTAGCATAACGAATTTTGCATATGCTATTCCTAACCCCCACCTGACTATGTCATCCAAAAATTACGTCACTACGACGTCACCCTCACGTCATAGGGATTGCCAAAGTATAATTACGATCGCCCGAAATGACATCTGCGCCGCCGATAACGAACTTGCTAAAGCCGGCGATCTCTCTCCTATAGTGACCGTTGTGACGGGAAAATGAGAGAAATTGCTTGCTCGATTTCGGGTGATGGTCTGTGCGTTTTGGACGAGCATCCGCATACTTCGGTGGGCCTTATTACGCCACTGTGACGTCGAAATGACGTAATATTTCGGTGACGTAGTCAGGTGGGGGTTAGGATTGACATATGCAAAAATTGTTGAGCCAGGTCAACTAGAAGTACATGTGGTACTGAACTATACCAGACGCCAGAATTCAATCACAGATGGGCTTAGTGCATGAAAGCTGTAATAGAGTTTTTATTTTATCTGTTAACTTATGCAGTATATCGAGGTACAGTTGGTGTTGCCTAGTATATTTTAGAGGCGTTCATGTCTGGGTTTGGGGCTTCATTTCCATCTCTGAAAAAGGAGCATAGGTCACATACTATCATTTATTACCAGAACTTTGTCTTTCAATGTAAATGCAATCTGATTTTCACTTTACTATATCAGTATATGTTAATATATGCGATATGCATATATTATTAGGCCAAGAGACGTTGAAAAAAAACTTCCTATGCCTATATACCGTTAAAATGCTGAATCAAATTATTACTGTTTTCTGCTCAAATTTTACATTGTCACAGGTGTTCCAAACAACAGAACAAACTTTTTTTTCTGCATTCTAGTCTAATTCATTTTTTAAATAGTGTATTTGTGCTCTTCAATATTTACAAACAATGAATGTAGCTCCTGAACAACAATTGGCTGCTGAGCTTGAAGTTGAAATGATGACTGATATGTACAATAGGTAAGATATTTATTATTTAACACCTATACTTCAACACGGTATGCAGCTAATCCTAGTCACGCCTTTTATGCAATCGATGCAATATTTGAATTTATTTGTGTTTTTATAGATGACATTTGGACTAAATTCACTAAAAATATAATGACTTTTTTTAACCAGAATGTCATCGGCATGTCAGAAGAAATGTATCAGTACCAGCTACTATGAAGCAGAACTACAAAAAGGGGAATCTGTTTGCTTAGATCGCTGCATCGCCAAATATTTTGAGATTCATGAAACAATTGGCAAAAAATTAACAGAAGCTTCACAAGTAGAAGATGAAACAATGAAGAAAATGCAACAACAACCTAATTGATAAAAACAGCCTATAATTTGATAAGCTGTGTAACTTTACAAACAGATAATATTCTTGGTGCAAGACACATGCAATTATTCAACAAGGAGTTATATGAGATTGCACATGTTGTTTGATAAAACCGCATAACGGCATTTCTCATATGTATTTTGGTTTGTGCGTATAAAGACAGTTAGGGAATCTGTAGTTCTGGATATCGAAAGCAAGGCTTTTTGGCAGGTTTTCCCCTACAAAGGTAAAGCTTCTATGAAATCAAGTTACACTGTTTAATAAAGCGTAATTAAATGTAGGATCTTGAATATCATTTCGTTAACCAGCCTATTATTTATTTACAATAAATTTGTTCTTTGATAATACAACGCATCAGCGTAAGTTATAGAAAATATTTGGATAACCACAGAGTCGCCCATAACTTATTGCACAACATTGCAAGTCTAAGCGGCGATGTAGGAACGGTTGTCATGAAATTAGATTGTGCATTTCCTATTGGCCAGTGTTCTGTGTGTGTGTGTGGTATTTTTGTGCAAATTAGCCATTCTAATATGTTGTTCAAACTTTTTGTATTGTTTTAATATTTATTAAAATTGAACTCAAATGTTATTATGGGAGTATTCATTTGGCACTTATGTTCCACTTTCACACAGTGTAAATAAGTTATATGTCAAAAGGTATATACAAATAATATATATGAAAAATAATTGAACATAAATAGGTAATGACAGATCACGGTCAATATAATAATGTATGAATAATGCAAGTTTAGCAATGCTTTAAAACTGGGATTCTCTTTTTTCTCTCTCTTCCCACTTTGTTAATATCATGTCCTGTAGAAAATTAAAAAATATACAAAGTAAATGTTTGAGCCTTTCACATAAGTTATTGCTCACATTATTGGTTTCTCATTCAATATGTACATTCACACCGCTGAATTTCCGAATTAGTTATTACAGTTTACTCAATTTTCATGGGTTGAAGGATGTGATTGGAATTGTTCGGCGCTCCCGAAGTGTATGTACCAATATGGAGCCAACTAATTTTGTTCGCCCACTTTACATCAAGTTGTATAAAGGGACTGATGAAACCTATGGGCAGGGGGTATATTCACTTGGCTAACACAGACAGTCCCCGAATTCGTAATATTCAACCGGAAAGCTTGAGGAAAATCTGAATAAAATAATGGCCTGTTCCTGTACTACGGGAGTATCGCTTGTTCTGCATACAGCAGGCCTGGGCAAGTTGCGGCCCGCGGGCCACATCCGGCCTGCAGCAACGTTTTATCCGGCCCGCGAGCAAGTTTCTAGATTTAGACACTCTTTTTCATTTACATATAAAATATAATTTGATTGCGAACAAAATAATTTTTAGGACAATGATTGCCGATTGTTTTCGTCATCTCGAGGTGTGTTTAGATTTTACAACGTAAACACCTTTACGTCGGCGATTAGTCTCCTCAAGTCACAAATTTTCCTTAACATATATATGTCTTGTATACGGAACTGTGGAACCATTAAAAAAAAACGAGTTATTATATAACCATCGGCGACAAGATGATAAAGATAAATAAAGGAGTGAATCTGCAAGCAACCTAAATCTAGATTTAGAGCGGCAATATAAAATACTAAAAATGGAACAGAAACAAGTTATGATTCAAACGGCTCGCGACAGATTGAAAACGCTTTTGTGAAAATGGAAACTAAAAAATTTCTGGTGCCCACGGCACACATTTTAATTGCGTAGCCTTCGTGGGCGCGATGTACCTTTTGATCTATTCTAAAACTACCGACGGGGCCTGATTTATAAGATAATTAATGTAAGGTTAACTCAATCGATTTTTATGTAACTAAAAAGAATTTTACTCTGTGTACTTTTATCGCAGGCATGTGGATTTTTCTGATGGTGAAATCTTTAAAACAGAGCTAAGTCAGTGTTGCAGGAACAGATCAGATTTGTCGAATTCACAAAATTGCTAAACACGAATAAAAATAATCTGGCACGTTACCTCACATTTTAATGTCCGCAGAATGCGGTGGTATTTCAGAATTCTAATGCTTGTATTTTATCTGAGCAGCCGCGGGTTAGGTTCAAAACAACAAGACATTTCAATGTGCCTGTATCAATGCATTTTAAATATATTCGTATCGCAAAAATAGATATAGTATATAAAGTATACAGACACATTTTTAAATCCGCAGACAGCCGTGGTATGTTAGAGCAGACTTTTAAGCTCGCAACGCCGTTCAATGCATTGAAATTTTCGCGAACCTTGTTCACCTTAAAAATGCTATGATGACAGCAAAATTATATGAATCACGATGTTTGGCCACCGAAGGCATGGTCCTAATTCCGCATTGTTACTCACTTTCCACCATTAATGACAAAATTTGGCATTGTTATGCAAGCGTACTGTTTCTCTGATCCAATGTATTGTCTTAAAATCGCCAAATTTACGTTTTAAACTAGTTTTATTAAATGCGCTTTGAATAAAAATTCTAACAATATGCAATAGATATAGTACTCATATATATACTTACTTATATATAGTACGTATTTAAATATGTAATAAAATACAATGAAAACGCGCAATTGACTCTACTTAGTCCGGCCCGCCACTGCATTTTGAATATTCAATGTGGCCCGATACCAAAAATAATTGCCCAGCCCTGGCATACAGTCTATAGAATTCATATTTGCAGGGTGGTTCATATTTTATGACTGCCACTTGTGACTCCACCATACATGTCTATGTATCTGAACCCAGACGAAGATATTGCATATCATTTCCCCTCTTACAGGATAATATGAAATCCTATTCTAACCTTTCTTGTTGTCAGCTCTGCACTGTTTACTCTCCATCTGTTATACGTTGCATTTACTGATGCTACCTTTGACCCTGGACTTGAAGTTGCTTTCCTTATTCCTGGCTTTACTCCTGCTCTTATACACATTGCCCTGTGCTTTTCGTGTGACCTTTCCTCTCGCAAGACTAAAGCCCTGTGCTAAAAATTGTTACACGACCAGATAAACCTCAACTGCTGCTTATACATACGTATATAAATAACCTATTTCTGTGCGACATGCACTTCACAAGATTTAAAATATGATAAAGAAATTCACCTGTTGCCCAAGTTGTAGTTGCATTGATTTTCCAATATTTTGTAGATCTGTTATAGTTTTTTCTTTGAGCCTTAGTTGCAATGATTTCTCTTCTAATTTTTCAGTAAGTATTGCACAATTGGAGCACTAAAACGTCAATGAAAAGGTACTTTGCAATGGATGAGTTGGTTAGAAAATAAATTGTGAGATCAAAAGCAAAAGACATCTTTTAAAAAATGAACCTACTTGATTGGTATTAAGTTGCATTATGGTAAAAATATGACTAGCAAACTAAAATTTACAAATACCTTTGGTGGGTGTAACTGTAAGTGTTTCAACTGTTTATGAAGTTCCCTAGCTTCTTGTGATGTTTTAATTAAATCCTTTTTCAATTCTTCAAGTTGTTGTTGTCTTTCACTTTGAGAGCGAAAAATAATGGTTTCAGGCATTAACCGTGAATCATTTTTTAACTTGTTGTTGCAGGACCAGCAAAAATCACTGGTACCAATCAGTTTTAATATTTTTTGTCAAATTCTCCAGTTATGATATTGTGTTATATGATATACCTCTTCTTATTTGTTGTATAGCTGTTATATTGAAAATAGCCTAATTGTATAATGGCTTAAAAAATTTCTCATGATAACCCTAGATTGTACAACCACAAAACAAAATCGATAATTATCTGTGGATTTTATGGAAGACTAGTCATTTTGAAGCGATATGCCAAATCCACACATTTGTAATGACATTCAAATAAGATTATACCTTGAATTTTTTCCAATTGTCTCTGCCATCCTTTGTTTAAGAATGAGCAACTTTCCATCTCTTTCTTTGATTTCAGCTTCACTTTTCTCTTCCAGCTCTTTCAATTTTCTCTCATGCTGAAAAGATATCCAAGGTAGTTAAAATATGCACTGTGAAAAATGTAAACAATTTCTTTTTATTTGAAACACTCTCAAAACCAAATAACACATCATATTGCTGTGACCACTGTTGGTAAATAATTCTGTGTAGTGTGAAGTTATATTCAAATGTGTTCTATTTAGTACTTTTATTTTGTGTCTTCTTACAGTGAATATACGAATAATTAAATCACCTCCTCTTTCAAATCCTTGATTTGTTTTTCATACTGTTCAATAAGAGAGTCTATTCGATCTTGTTTTGCTAATATATCAGCTTCTGCCGTTACAAGTTTTTGTTTCGTTTCAATTTGTTCTGCATCCTTCTCTGCTAATTTTTCTTCATAGTATTTGATCTGTGTGAGCAAATCAGATTTACATCACTAGTCATCTTGTTTTTCATATTTATTTGGCGAATGCAGCTACGAAAAAACAGTGTTACCATGTACGCAAGAGTCTTTGAAACAATGTTTTTCATAGATTTCCAATTGATAATAAAATTTGATCAAGAACTTATTTCATTACCATAGCAATCTTTTGTATGTTTTTACCTTTGTCTCAAGTGTCTTTTTGAGAGCTTCACAGATCTCCGATTTTGTTTTCAATTCAAATCTCAATTCGGCGATTAATTTCTCCAATGCAGAAATGCGATCTTTCAGTTTTTGTTCTTTTGCCTGTATGGAAATTAGAACATAGCCGGTTGTATGCACTCCTATCAGATAGATATTCTTGGCCGTAATGGAATTGAGCAAACCACTTTGATTTTATTCATCTATATTCCTGCAGCTGCATTCTAATATTACTCTACCTCAACTTTTCTAAATCTTCTTTTCTGATCTCTCAAATCTTGCTGCATCATAACGTAGCTGTCGTACAACATCTGTAAAAGTAAGAAACTAAGAACTTTACTATTTACTTTTGTTTCACACCCCGGTATGAACAAGGCTCCTGACAAACGACCACTAATCTGTGGTTCCCAGACTTTTTATTTGTGCAGCGCCAATTTATAAAGGAAGAAACTCACGCCGCACTTACACAAAAAATAATAAAACTTAATTTTGTTATCGTTAATGAGTAAGTACCTCATGCTTTTTGCCCTCATAAGTTTTCAACCATGTAGGCCTAAGGATTAAAGGCGAAAGGTCAACTCTCCTACCTCATCTCTACCTGATTTTCTCTTTGAAATACTAAAAAAATGACTCTCATTGCTAAACGCTGTTCAGCTGATAAATAAACTGCAGCTCGCAAAATAGTTTTGTAACAATAGAGACACTAAGTAACAGGAAGTAAATAACATAGAAAGACAACATGAATTCATTGATTCAGACACACAGTATTCAAAATAAGAGACAATAGAACATTTATAGTAAATAAAATATGTAAAATAACTATATAATAATTATGTTTAACACAATTCCTATAATTTTCGGGGTGAATTTAGCAAATCTGCTTTGGGAACTGCTGTACTTTGCTACTAGTAGAAACTGAATTTTTTATGTTTGGAATGGAAAATGGATATATTTTACCAACCTTAAATTCTCTTTCTTTTTCCTTGATTAATTGATTGTTGTTACTGGGTGATGCAGGTCTTAACGTGTGGAGCTGGTTAATGTGTAAAGCAGGATCATTTCTGAATTATTTATACAGATTCAGTTGTCAGATTAATATGAGAGTAACCATTACTGATTTTGCTAAATTGTATGAAAATATAGCCACTGATATATACATGTGTATTGGTCAACATTGCTAATGAGTTGACTGGATTGTATAACTGCTTTTGAGGGCGTCGCTACATGACTGCATTTTCAGTCTTGAAACTGACTCCATTAAATTCACAAAATTCTGTACCATAATTATTATTGTAACTGCACCTTGTCGGAGCATTATGTTGGGATGTTGCACCTTGTGCTAAACGCAATGCACCAAGTGGACGAATTGATCCACCGCTTTTCGCGCGGGCCGTCTTGGAGTTTTTCGACATATCAAATTGTTGGTGGTGAAGTTGTTTGTTCTGGTGGTATTAATTCTCCAAAGACGTTCACACTTCAAATTATTTCAATCCGAAAACCAACTTTTTGCCACGTTGATATTCATTTCCTCATTTTTAGCTTTTAGTTGGAAAAAATAAGTCGTTTACAGCAAAATAAAGTCGAAATCAAGTATACAAATGGAGTCTGCAAAAATTCGCACACTGCGAGCTGCGTTTCCATTCGTTACGTGAAGCCAAATCCCGGCGTAAACAAATGCATTATATTGCCATCTTGCGGATGTTTTGCATGACCAAATTTTTAATCTACATTACGCTAAATATGTCTGTCACGAAATATGTTTGAGAAAATCAAGCTTCGTATTTTATAAATTTATTTTTTTATAAAGTCGAAATAATCATTTTTAAATTAAATATCAAACAAAAGTTCTTGAATTTACCATAATCAACTATCCACAAACAACGACACACGTGCTCTCCAGTGTTGCCAACTTGGATTATTTAAATCTAGATTTAGATTATTTTCGTATGATTTAGATGTAAGAAATACCCATTTAGATGCTAGATTATTTTATAGATTATTTTAGCATTCATTTAGATATATTTAGATTATTTTGACAAATGTTATTTTGCATTGTTCTCTAGCTGTATAGTGGCAAAGAAGTGAAGTGCAGTTCACCGGTATCTATAGCAGTGAATAACATATGTAGAGAATAAATACAGAAAAGGTACTGCAGTGATAGTGCTCAAAACAACAAGCAGACAAGGGAGATATGTCTAAAGAAACCAGTGGCAAACGATACGACCAGAAATTTCGAAAACAGTGGCTAAAAGATGACTCACTGAAAGAGTGGATAGCGCCCGTGGCTGCTGATGCATCTAAGGCATTCTGCAAGTTCTGTAAATGTGATGTCAAAGCAAAATATCAAGATTTGAAGCAGCATACTAAAACTGAGAAACATTTGAAAGCTTGTCCATTCACTACCAGGACTCTTGATCCATTTATGACTATTAAAAACTCTGAAACAGCAGAGCTGGAAGCGTCTATTTCCACATTTTTATGTTGCCACTCAGCTATTTCTAATTGCGACCATTTAGTTGATTTATGTAAAAGAAATCTCCCTACAAACAAAACAGTGTCTGAAATGAAAATGCACCGAACTAAATGTACCCATATCATAAGAAATACTCTGTGTGAGCATTTTAAAACAGACCTAAGACGAGATATTGGTGATGGCAGATTTAGCATTCTGATAGATGAGTCCACAGACATAACAGTACATAAGTTACTAGGCATATCTATAGTTTATTACAGCATGTCTGAAAAAAAGATTGTGTCAACCTATCTGGAACTTACTGAACTTACAGCTTGTGATGCTCAGCACATTGTTATAGCTATTAAGAACGTACTCGGTTCACATAAATTGAGTCTGAAGAATCTTGTAGCAATTGGAACAGATAATGCGAGTGTGATGATTGGCATAAAAAGGGTGTTCATGCACAACTGAGGGCCGAGATACCATCCCTTATTCTTATAAAATGTGTATGCCATTCTATTCAATTGGCAGTCTCACAAGCATCGGCAGATAGCCTGCCAAGACACCTTAATTTTTTGATTACCGAGACACATAAATGGTTCTCACATTCATCTACCAGGCAATATCGGTATAAGACTCTGTATCAAACTTTGAATGATGGCACATCACCTTTGAAAATTCCTAAAGATTGTCAAACAAGATGGTTATCTATTCAACCAGCTGTTCAAAGAATCTTAGAACAATGGCTGGAACTAAAAACTCACTTTGAAGTTTCACGATTGTCAGAAAAGTGCTATACTGCAGAAGTTCTGTATGAAATGTACTCAGATGAAAAAATTTGGCCTTCCTTCTGTTTCTAAGTCCAATTTTGACTGAAGTACAACAAGTAAACAAACTGTTTGAATCCAAAAACATTGAAAAAGTGAAACTAATAAATGATCTAACAATGCTGATGAAATCAATTGCAAAAAAGCTTGTATCGCCAACCTGTAATATTGATCTACTTAATTCTAACATTGAAGAGTATCTGGACCCAAAACCATACTTAGGCTACAGATTTGAGTGGAAAATTCAAGATTTGAAGAAGCAAAATAAACTTACCAATACTGATGAAACTTGTATAAGAAAAAGATGCTGTGATTTTTTACTGGCACTGCATAAACAGTTAAAGCAGCGTCTACCTGATAATCTTAAAGTTCTGCAGAACATTTCTTGCTTCTCTGTTACTAACATGCTTCAACCACTTAAAGACAAAGCTGCCATCTGTGAAGTTATGAAATTTTTGGGGGCCTCTGATCAATCTATCTCTCAAGCAGAATACCAACTAAGCAAGATAAATCTTGTGGACTGGGTGCATAAGGATGATACAGAAGCCTTTTGGAGTGAAGTGGGTGACTATAGGGATGCTTCAGGATGCAATCCATTTTTAGAACTTTTCCAGTGTGCAATTTCAGCCCTAATTCTACCTCATTCAAATGCTGAAATTGAGAGAGTATTTAGTGCAATGAATTATGTCAAGTCAAAACCAAGAAACAGAATGTCACTGCAGCTGCTGAATGCCATCTTAACTGTAAAATTGCCATCTTAACTGTAAAATTTGGGTTGATAAGAAAAGAAGAGTGCTGCTCCACTTACAAGTGCCATCTTAACTGTAAAATTTGGGTTGATAAGAAAAGAAGAGTGCTGCTCCACTTACAAGTATCCACCAAAAGTCATTGCAGAGATAGGAACAAGCGCTGTCTACCAATATCAGAGCCAGTCAACTTCAGCATCTCATCCCATAGATCTTTCATATGTAAAAGATATTAACTTTAGAGAATTGCAACAGTTGTAGTTTGTACATGTATTTTCTGTTACAGTTTCAAAAGTGTACATGTAGTCGCATAACTTGCTTATAATTAATTAAAATATTAAATGACCTGTTTCACACGGATAATTATGCTGTGTGAACTTAGTAGTATCCCTATTTCGAGACAAAGGAACCAAATTACAGTAAAATAGGAAAATTCAATGTTCTATTTACTTCATAAATATTGTTATTTGTATATTGTTTCTTTTTTATTAGTGTATTTGATATTCGGTGATTGCAGACACTAAAAAGTAAATCCATAATTATTGTGGTGCAACAAGCTTTCATTTTTTCTCATGATAAATACTAAAGTTACCTTACTTATGTTCGAAAAGCTGTATTGATATGAGTAATCATTTTTCTTTACATTACAATCTTCGTTTTTTCATTGAAAATGTAACTTTGGTATTTTTGGATTATTATTTGGATTATTATTTTTTGAATTTAGATTATTCTAGTTATTTTTTGTGAAGATTCTAGATTATTTTAGCACCGAACAGTTGGCAACACTGGTGCTCTCTTGTGGGATATTTATAATACCAGCATACTGCTGTACTACTGCTGCACTGATAGTTAGCCTATACCTATAACATTTCGTTACGTTTCGTGCTGTTCGTTTTATGAACAGGTGGTGATTGATATTATGGATTTTGAGCTAGAACTAATTTCACCATTCAATGGCATTGAGCCTTCAGGTAAATATAAAATTAATATTGTCCGTTTCCATTTTTTTCTTTAAATAGTTTGATTTCGTGATCTGTCTGTCAATTTTTGGATCAATTCAATAACCTGATGCCAGGCACGTAGAATTAATCTCTTAACCTTGTTTCACTAGACATTTATTGAGTTTGTGATGTGTCTGGTTTTTTTCAATACAGAAAATTGTGCTGATTCCACAAAGTTGTTCTTCATTGATTTTCAAGTCCTGAAATTGAAATAAGATCTAACAGTAATCTACTACTATATTAAGTTAGTGCAAAGGAAATACCGAAATGAGTTTTCATGCACCTTTTAACCTCTGAACATTACCTCAATTACCTTGCAAAATATATATGTTTCAATAATTTGAATTTTGAGTGTGATATAGCCTATTTGTAATATTAATACTTTAATACAGTATCAGAGAAATAAATGCTTCGTATGGAAAAATAAAATGTGTTTTTAGTATACCTGACTCAAGTTCTATAATTGCAGAAGCCAAAACAAATTAATGAATTATGAGCAACAATAGAATAATGGAATACTATCCCTGCTTGTTTCAAAATGTGAATAATGATTATATTACACATTTGACATTTGTAATGTGTTATTGCATTGACTTCTTATGGATAATAGCCTTCATCTGTATTAAACTTATTAATTTGGAACTCAGGTCGGTTTGAATTGGGAAGTGACCCATAAACTCACAATTTGTATTTATTTTTAAGGTGACTATTCTGAATCTACACAGGAACTGTTGAAATTAGTGACTACTGGAAAATATAAAGAATGTATAATTCACATCAAAAACACAGTTTCCTTTCTCAATTTAACTTCTATGGAAGACATATATCAATTGAAGTTTTTGGCGAGACAATACCTAACAGATGATGATGAATCTCTAAGGAAGTTAGTGTTTCTTGTTCCACATTGTTGAATCGAATAAAAAATTGAATGGGAAACACGTTTTTGACTAGTTGTTCTAGAGCACTGGTCTTCAACCGTGGCACCCCAGATTTCCCCCAATACAGGCCAAGGGTTCCCCAATTTTCCATTCAAATCTGAGAGTCTAAATTATATGCATATTATGTAAATATATTCAAATACCGATTATGTTTGCCACTATTATGAAACTTTTCACACTTTAAAGATCACTTTAAAGGTTTTGGTTACAGGAGGGAGTAAACTTTTCACCACTAGTTTTGACCCATTATTATTTGGTTTTATAAAAAAATGACCAAACAGATAATTCATGTAATATTGTTGAAGCTTTTGGGTTGTGATTTTTTTGTTTTTGTGGCATAGGATTCTGTTTCAGTAGATTACATATGTTTATTAAATTCATTTTTTTGGGGTGAATGTTCTATCATAGCTGATTTTTATTATTAGAGAAATCGAAATTCTGTGCTATGGAGTTTCATGCCTTCAATTGTTTGTTATCAATAACTGGACTGGACCTGAATCATCAGATTTGACGTCGTTGTTATTCACTAATTTTGATTCTGTGGATGTAAGTATATACTATTTTCCCAGTCCCAGCATCATGCGCTAGCACTTTTCATTTCCCATATATTTCAGTGTTTGCCACAATTAGTGTTGATTCTGAAGTTTCACATTATGGTAGCTTGCACCATTCGAATTCAATCTCACATCAATTGATTTTACACCGTAACCTGTAAGAAGTTGATATCATGTTTGATATCATCTGTGTGTTTTCCGTTCCTTATTTGGCATCAGTATTTTCTTTTTACATGTACATGCTTACTATCAGTAGAGAATACGCCCAATCTTTCCTCAATGCTATTGTGCTAGTGGATGTACATGTGTATAATGCAAGGATGTTGAAGCAGGAATAAAAATACCATACCATGCAATTCAAGAGTGTGCGACAGGACTCTTGAATTGCTTAGTATGCTTTTTATAGTTTGTAAGTTGTACAGATATATATATTGCAACTTATGACTTGAGACATGCTTTTAGATACGAGTTTCTCTGTACCTTTGTTGAGGTGAGTGCTTACAGCATTATCTAATTTGAATTTAACAAAAAAATTAAAATATTTTGTTCAGATAAAAGAAAGAATATTGCAGGAACTTGATGTTGATGGAGAAAATGTATATGCTCTCATTGCAGACCCGATTCTACTTTATATTGCTATGATATTATTTCAACAATTTGATTTGTTTCATCACCTACAGGTATAGTCTTAAGAAACTTTTTTTCATTATCGATATTGAGCTGCTCTTTGCCGGAGTATATACTCTCACAGTTTTTTTGATATCAGTTTTGTTGAGAAGTTACGAAATTCTTTCATACAGCACACCTTGAATTTGAAGGTGGTGGGCACAGGATCTAGCCTTAGTGTTCACTGAATGGCATGAGCGAGCACCTCTGATTACACTGCGTGTGTTCGAATCCTGTGGGAGATGATTATGTGCTAGATGGCTGCTGGACACCTCATTACATTATTACTTAAATACATTACTGTAATTGAAATATTTTACAGACTGCAAAATGGTGGTGTTTACGATATATATCAATACATCAGCAGTTGATACCGGAACGTTCTCCTACTCTTCATGAACTCTCTAAAGCTTTGATCCAGAATTTCAGCCAACAGGACTTTTTAGAAAGCGAACAGAATAGGTGTTGTACCTTTAGTTTAAAAACTTTACTTTATAACTATTTCATAGCCGGGATGATTGGTATCTGCTATGCTGTACAACTAGACATTCCTCTTAAATATTATCGCATTACTATATAGCTTTTAGGTTATCAATTCTTATAGCAATACATTAAATCTATTTTTTGAGAGTAAGATATGCATATCTTCACTTTTGCTGGATTGCTTTTTTGAGATGATCACATTTATATATGGCGTTTGTGATACATATACAAATCAAACTTATTTTATAATTTCTTCAGATCATACAAAATTCAATTTTACCTGGAGACTGGATTACTCCAATTATTTTATTATCAATACAAAGAAGCTGAACAAAGTTTCCAAACAGCTACAGCCTTGTGTGGAATTGAATGCTCACTTGATGGTATGGTTTTGTATTGGCCAGGCAATTGGCACATCATATGTTAGGAATAAGCTTGCTGTCGTATTTCTGATTGCTAGGGTTTGCAAGTTCTAATCCTGTGGGTGCTAATTATGGTGCTTTCTCCACCTTCAAGTTCATGCATACAAATAACTGATTGCCGGTAACTAATTACATACCCGATATGGGCTTGTAACCGGACGTGATGCTGTGATTCGCCATATTATTAAGCCGTTTATCAGCTTTTTCTCCCAAGGATAAACATATGGGATAAAAAAAAGTTGTACTTTTATTTTATTCATTATTTTTCGAACATAGAAGTATTCTTTTTAATTGTTTCTTGTCAACTTAATTCATAAAAGATATGGATTTATTTCAGGTGCTCTCGGTGTGCGAACCAGGTTCCAAGAGAAATTGATTGCACAGCTTCGAGTGCAAATCAACAGAACAAGAAATGATAAACTGATTACAAAAGCACCTACTTTGACTGATGAAGATATTCCAAAGGTTTAATATTTTGTTCCAAAAAATCTATGAGAGAAAGTTATATTATAAATTTCATGTGATTATTTGTTATTCTTATAGATGTCAATATGAACGAGAACGAAATGCTCAAAGCCACGAAGTTTCTGTACCGGTTAACCAAGATGGCAGACGCGGACACCGGAACGTAGTATGTGTACCAGGTTAGGGTCAGGCTATAATTTCAGGTACAAATACTACGGGAGTCACTTGGCTAGTCCCCAAACTCGTAATAGAATTAAAATGCGGAAAATTGGATTAAAATGATGGCCTAACCCTAACCTGGTACACATACTACGTTCCGGTGTCCGCCATCTTTTATGTCATAGTTTTTACCTTTTAGAATCTCTGTTTTGTGCCTAACTAATTTAATAGAAATATTCAATTTAATATATATATATATTTAGGCTTTACCTCTAAATGATGACACTCTCCTTGAGGCGGTCAAGTATTCTGAGGAAGAAGTTGATGAAAATCAAAATCTTATTCCAGAGGAGCAAGCAGTGATATTGATGATGTGGTGAGTAATGATGATCGCCGTTCTAGTTTTTTATTCACTTTTGATAGATTGTGAAATGAATCTCTGGTAGTCGTGAAATTTCTTTTTATGTTCTGAATATTATAATATCAAAAAATTCTTTAAGGCTTCGCAGTTGGTGCATCATGCTGGTGGGTGCGGCTTCCTTCACCATCAAGTCCATGCATCTGAAACACATAACATAAATTAGTAACCAGATGAGAGGCTGTGGTAGACTAAACGAGTAAGCCGCCTTACTGACTTTATTCTCTCCTGTGATAAATATGGGAATACTATCCTATTCATAGATAGTACATTAACACTTCATGGTACTATACGATAGCCACGGCAATCCATGAAAGCGTGCTGGTCTGTTAATAAAGCATTGAAGCTTAAATACAGTAACATCGGATGTTATGGTCACATGTTTGAACTCTACCACTTTATCCAAGATAGGATTAATAAAGCGGCAAGCGGGCTATGTTGAACTAAAATATACAGGACTCCCAGAAGCATGATGCTGCCAATGTATATTTGCAAGAGACGTGGTGGTATTGAATTTTGACACATTATACCTCAGGAATACTAAACTAAATATAGATAGTCTTTATTCGAATATTTTACATTTCAGCACAAAAATGCAGAAAACGTCTGCCTCTCACAAACTCAAAGATGAACAAATAAAATGTGTTATTGAGGTAAGTTGATTCGATTGTATTTAGAAAAATAAGTAGAGAATTTATATGAATTATGTAATGGGAGAAAATAAGAGAAATATCATCTTCTCGGATAACCTCCCCTATAATATCAATTAGGTCTACTACCCCATTGCCGTAATATCATGAAGTTTTTTTAATCGATCATTTTTAACTTCAATGAGAATTATAGTGGATATAAATATAATTTATGACAGATATGAATAAATTTGTATTCAATTTTCGAGTTTTGATTATAAACAATGTGCAAGAGAACTATTTTAAATGACTCTTAATCAGTGTATTGTGAACAATAGTTTTTATCATTTAGGTTTTATTGTTCCCAACTCTAAATTTACATTTATTAAGTTATAGCAAAGTGTTGCATTTCTGAATCAACTTTCTTTATTTCAATTTCTATAACAGTACCTTCTATCCGATCCGAAATCATGGTCAATTCACACAGAATCATTGAGAGTTCGATGCATTCATGAAAAACATAAATCAAGAACAGTAGAAAGGAGTATGATGCAACTAGAATCGCTTGTGAAAAATATTTCTTTAAAATCAAAATGTTCTGATGACAATCATCATCTTGCGTCATTGAAGAGGTTGTCACTATTCTACAGCGTTTGGCCAAAACCAAAGTGGATAATGGAGGTATGAATATTTACTCTGTATCATTTTACAATCTTATGTGAAGTTTCAATATCGTATTATCTATCAAGCTCTGGTAAGTAAGATCATATCTATGGTGAGTTCTGACTTGCTTCGCCGTAGGGTGATTCACGAAACTGCTGGTCGGTTATGAATTTCTCCACCATCAAATTACTGCATCTGAAACAAATAACTTGCTAACTAATACCATACCCGACATGGGCAAAAGGCTGCGGTTCCCACCCTTAAATGGCTTGTGGCCCTCCTCCGGAACTTTTAGCACTCATTGCCCCAGTGTTTATCATTCCAGTGGTATTTATAGAGTTATTTTGATTATTCCAAATCCCAATAGATGAAACGATTCATAATGCACTAAGTGAAAACACCCTGTGAAATAACCTTATCAAGCATTGAAACTAGGAAGCATGGGGTGTAGGCTTGTGAAGGGAAGGGTAAAATCAGTTTGGGCTTAGCATTGTGGCACACATCGGTGGGCCACGGACCCCTGGTTGAGTTATCGTTGACCTAGCGGTTGCTACATTAGGATTAGCTGTGTTGGCATTGCACTCGCAGGTTACACATCTAGGTTGTAATATACCACATCACCCATAAAAGCATTGGGTAAGCAGTGAGGAACTAGGAAGCTTCCGGGTTTCTTTAAAAAATGGTAGCTCATTACATATCAGTGGCTGCCATACAAGGCTTTGTTCAACCAAAGTGCACTGAATTCTCATATTTTGGATTCGTGTAATAAAATATGAACAAAAACTTCAGATGTAGTAGCATTTAAAGATGTGTATACATGTCCTGATTCCGAAAAATTTTGTTTTGTTTTTTTCAGAAACAACTTGCAATGTTGTATGAAAGTCTGGGTGTCCGTGCCAGTTCACTAGAAATTTATATGAGATTGCATATGTGGGAAGAAGCAATCGTTTGTCTGATATCAACAGAGAGAGGGCACGAAGCTGAGGAATTAATAAGAAAACAACTTGCTATCAAGGAGACCGCGAACTTGTATTGCTTGCTGGGAGATATATTACTGGTTAGGAAAATTTTTTATTTCATTTTGCTTGATGTGGTAGTCAGAGGCATTTCAAATATATAACTGATTTTCTTTAATAGATCCCATTGAGTACAAAGTTCAATTTTTGTCACAAGCAAGACAATGGGTAAAAAGAGGCTGTTTTTATTTAGGCATAAGTGACAGTTTTAGTTACATCTAGGTCTAAGTATTTTATTTTTCTATAGTCCGGCAGATAAGGGGACCTTTTTGGCCCAAGTTTGATTTCAGACATAAAGTTTTTTTTATCTGTGATTATTCATCTTGGGGTCATTGCCCATCATTTCTACATGGGTGTGGAGTTTGCAACCTTGAGCAATTTTTTTTACGGCTCGATATTTGTAACAGTGTTTTTCGTCAAACCTGTGCATCATAATGACGCACAACCTGAACCATAACCTGTTGCAATACTATGTTCAGGTTGTGCGCAATCTTGGTGCACAAACTACGCAAGCACCAAATTTACTAGGAAATAAAATCAATAACTTTTAGGTATTTGTTGAGCCCAGCTTTGGGTCGAGACCCATATACAGTATATGAAAATACTGTCGAAACATACGCGTAAAATAAAGAGTACTATTTCAAAATACTCGTTTTTGTTGTAATTAACAATACAAGCCTGGTAATGCAGTCGCCAGTGGTTCAAGTGGATATACACCCGGTGGAGAACAGTCAATTATTTGTTAGCGAGAATTGTTATGCAGCGGGATGATCACGACGAAGCAGTGAAAGATAATGATATCACAAGAACAAGAATGAGAAAATTGCTACATTTTATAGTATATCCCTGGGAAAGAATGTAGTTCATTCTTATGTTCCATGCCAATGCTTTTCAAACTACCAAAGACTCTCAACACTTTTACTTCTTCTCTTCTATAAAAAAACATTATATTATTATGTATATGTTATTATATATTCGCATTTCCATCTGTTTGTTCGTGCTCCCAGATAACCGATCAGCGGCCTCCAAGGAGGACGGGGTCCCCTATTAAGAAACCCTGTCATAAGCTAAAAAAGGCGACCATGCTTCTCTTGCCTGTTGTCATGCTGTCCCTGGAATTCAGCTACAACAAAAATTTCATGAAAACGGATTTTTAAATTTTATTAATATTCTCAACAATGAATGATATACGGGTGGTAAAATGCCAAGTTATTCCAACAACATGATCATGTTTTTGCAATTTACAACCAATATTTTGTATGTAACTTTGTTTGACAGAGCCCCAAGAGCCCTAACAAATATCAAAAATGTGAGGCCAAAAAAGTCACACTACAACATTGTCAAATGTGCTGTATTTACGATAGATAACAGGTTTACCAAAAAGAATTGAAAAATGAAAATGAAAAATGGTAAATTAAAGATCAATTCAGCAATATCTACTTGGTGATATTGCATCTGTTGGTGATTTTATGTGTTTGTTTCGGAAGTTTAATAACAGAATTAATTGTGGTTGTTGGGGATGTTTTAAAAAAAGGTTGCATGGAAAAAAGGTTTCACAAAATGTCAAGGTTTGATAGTAGTAGAGAAGTAGAAAAATACTCCCATGTTTTTTTTTCTCATTTGATAACCACGCCACAGAACTTCCCCGATAAGTATACGCAGCAATTGCGAGAAGCAGAAATGCCAAGATGGGATTTCATCGCATTGCAAACCAATATTAGCAATTCTTATATATATTCGCGCATTCCCATCTGAACAGCGTGGAAAAGATTATACCCATCTACACACTTTAAGAACTATGTCAGATGAGCGTCATATTATCGAATATCAGTAAAGGAATATTGCAATGGGAAAAGACATATGAGGCGGAACTTTCAGTAGTATGCAATCAAATAATCTTATTGTAGAATATAACTTTAAAAACATTTCGTCACGCCAACTGCAGTCCGAAACTTTTTTTCTCAGGCTGAGCGCAGATACCAATTGGCACTTATGTAAACTGGTAAGACTGTAAGAGGCACGCGATGGATCAGATACTAAGAGTATCCATCCCCCAGCTGTCATTTGAGTGGGTACTGCTGTTTTTATTGCAGATGTTACTGATCTTTTTGTATTAAAGATTTACTGGCATCACCGATTTAAGGATGTTGGAAACCAACACGCAATATTACAAAACTTACTTTCAACACGCGGTTTGAATGAAAGAAAAAGCTGAAACTAATATTCTTTAGAACAGCATACAAATTCTATGGAATGGAATCATACACAAAAACTCGTCAAAAACCTATAGCTCAATAATCAAGTGGAATTTGATGCATGTGCGCAAAAATGTGCGCGTTACTACGTACAACCGAAGCACGCAGGAAAATGTGTGTGATGTACTAGTATTCAAAACGTTTGACTCAACTATGTTGGCATAACAGGTGCACATCTCGGTTTCGCATACCCATACCTTCTATCTCCACAAGGGGTTCCATTACATTTGAACCCACGTACATTTGAACCCATGGCAATTGCACCTGTATGCTATTGCACCTATGGAATTTTTTTTGTTTTTCGGATAGTTGAACCCACACTGACCCTAACCCATGGGTTTTAGCACCCGCATATAGATTGAACCCGTGGATATACACATGGGTTCAAATGTACGTGGGTTCAAATGTACGGTCACCCTCCACAAGGATATATTAATTTTGCCAAAATCAATGTAGCTCTGAAAGGTTGCGGTTCTCCCAAAAGAAAACACGTTCCACATCTTTAGATACCAGTGGATGGTTTTACATGGCCTTGTTCCTTGTTCGGAGTGAAAGGCGAGGTCAAATATTCCAATCCAATTCAACTAATAAAATATTTCCCAAGTCCCTAAGCTTAAACTAGGAAAACGAAATGCGCGCGGCAACGCAAATGTAGTTTGAAGAGCGCAATAGAAAGTGGCTAGATACTGTCGATGGATCTTGGCTTGTATTAGCGAAATAAACTACCATTTATTCTACTAAAATTGAATTTCTGACATTGTAAGGAGATTCAATGTTACTATGTATGCAAAGCTAAACCATGTAGTTATGAAATAATTGTTTTTAACAAAAGGGCTCTCCTGAAGTATTTGTACCAAGATGGCGCACAACCTGAATATTGTATGCTTACCAGGTGGGGGTTCAGGATGTGCGTCATCTTGGACCGAATACTTTAAATCCACTTAAAAAAAATTGCTCAACATTATATACTCCACACCCACCTGGGTATCATTATATATGTCATATACATTATATCTAAACAATAAAAAAAACTTTATGTCCCAAAACAATGTTAAGGCCCGATTCTGCCGGACTACTAGGGAAGATTGGTAATCTAAGTACATTCCTGCTGTTCATGAACAATTGAAAAATGAAATGTGGCTCGATATTTCTACTTGTTTGTCTTTTTTATATGGCCGCTGTATTTTTTGTGCAGGATCCAGACCTTTACTTGAAAGGATGGGATATATCGAACCAGCGCAGTGCAAGATCAATGCGATCACTTGGTGCTTACAAAATATCAAAGAAACTATACAAGGAAGCCATAGAATGCTTTGAAAAGTCACTGGCGGTCAACTATCTACAGGTAAATCATTAAAATTTTTAGAATTCTGTCCCAGGATTGACTTTGAAATCTGATCTTGGATTCCTTTTAGATTGATTATTTTGTGTCTTGAATGAGCTTTGTTATTACTGCGTTTGGATCGAAACAATTCACGTCAATGTAACTTTTGGATATCAGCAATGACATTACTATATTTTTTAAAAAGATGAGATGGTTGCCGGTTGGCATGCAGACTGCACTCAACATACTAAATCTGCATGCCAACATAGTTATCGTATTTGTGATATGGCATGCTATTGTTCAAATATATATAAATATTAAATAAATAATAACCTTCAGGTAAAAGACATGGAGGGTGCTTAAATGATTTTTAACTTTGTTTTTGCATGTAACACCAATTCTAGGTATATTTTTTACATTTCCTGACTTAAAAAGCACAAATTAGTTTATGACATCAGCCCATTGCAACTCATATTGTAAAATTGTCAATTAAACTTTATTTATATAATTTAGACTGGTACATGGTTCAGTATGGGATGTGCGGCACTTGCATGTGAAGATTTTGATAAAGCAGCGATGGCTTTCCAGAGATGCGTCAGTCTTAATTGGGATGTAAGATACTAATTATTTTAAATTAAAATATCACTATTGTATATAATCAGTTTATTGTAGATTTTAACTTCAACTTTTGTATTTTATATCTTAATACAATATGATTAGGAAATTTCAGATGTTTGTCTTTTTACAATTACATATACTTTGTTACCTTTGATTAATTTATTGTTTATCTATTCAGAACTTTGAAGCATGGACAAACTTAGCAGTTTCTTTTGTGAGAGCAAATAAAAAGTAAGTATTTTTTATCACATTAAGTGATTGGTTTCCATGTTAGTCCTTCATGGACATCTCAAAGTCAGAGAAGTCATCAGTAAATTGACATTATAAGAACTTTTAGTTGAAAGTATTGTCCAATAATTTGAAATCCACTTCCCTTAATTGTTTTCCTGATTGCATTGATCATTTCAATTATTCTGTCAATTAATGCATAAAGCACCATCATAATTCTATATGGCAGCGATTCCTAAAATATTTGTTCATGAGGTGCCAAATTATCAGGGTAAACACTTTAATAAAAACAACATGTGAAATGTTCAATCATGTATATTAGGTATGTTTAACACAATTTTGGTAATTTTTTGGAGCGCTTTACCGGTGCGTGGTAGCGCCCCCTTTGGGTACCGCTTCTATATTGTTTCAGTTTGTTCAGAGATAGTTTACTTTTCTTTTGAGTGGGTGCGCATGGTCTTGCTTCGAGCAAATTTTCTCGATCCAGTTTTATGCCATTTATATTTTTTCAGGGATCAAGCATATAAGGCTCTAGTTGAAGCTTTAAAATGTAACTACGATCGCTGGGAATTATGGGAAAATTTTCTTTTTGTCAGTGCTGATACTGGACATTTTTCTGATCTCATTCGTGCATATAACAGGTAAAATAGGAAATAGAATGACATTTACATATAGCTTTCAGTATGCTGGAAACAGCTTATACTCCTTTATCACTATCACTCTTTCATTTTAAAAGATAAGCTAACTAATATAAAAATTCTGTAGTGGTCTTCCATAAATGGAGCCATATGCATTTTCATGTGATATGTGAAAAATTTGATTGTTTTTTCCAGCTACAGTTTTTTAGTTGCCTCTTTACGAAATGATAAATATTTTTTTAACATTCAGATTACTCGATCTCAAGGACAAATATGTTGACATACCGGTCTTAAAAATATTAGTTCGTGCCATGAATGAAGATATTCTAGGTTCAAACAATGTTCCAGGTAGGTACTTTAACATGAATATCATTGTCAATTGATTATCAATTTAGACTTTCACAAAATATTGTGGTTTGTCAATTTTAGAGGAAGCATCCAATTTCATGTGATTAAATTGAAAATTTGTCATCTGCAGACAATATCTTATAAATTATGTAGAGTAGTAGTTTGATTATTAGGAGTTTTAAATTCCAACTCTTAAGCCAGCGAAGATATGTCATACTATTTTTGGTACTTCCGTAGTATGTGTACCAGGTTAGGGTTAGGTCATAATTTTATATCGATTACCCTTATTTTAGTTCTATTATGGGTTCGGGGACTGTTTGTGTTAGCCCTGTCCATAGGCTTCCGTCCCTTTACACAAATTTATGTAAAGTAGGCGAACAAAATTACTTTACCTCCATATTGGTACACATACTTTTGGAGCGCCCTAGTTTTTTAGTTAGACAGCAAGTCATATTAGCATTCATTACATTTTTCAAATTTTATGATTAATAAATATCTCACTTTTTAAAAAATGCAGTAATATTACAATTACCATAAATAACTTGTTTACAGCTTCAAAACTGAAACAGAAAGCATTGACTCTGTTCGGTCGTCTCACAAGTAAGACAACAAGCAACTGGGAGGTTTGGTCACTTTATGCTAAAGTCCTAGGTAATGGAACAGGTGGTGAAAACAAAGATGAAAATGCTAAAGCTCTAACATTCTTGCAAAAATCACTGCGTTCTGCTCTGCAACGACCATCTTGGGAAAAAGATTCAAAATCGGCAGAACAGGCAGTTACACTCTGCATTGAAGTTATTGATGGTAATTTATCTTGTATTAGAATCATGGAAGACTGAAATATTTTAATTTTTTATCGTAATGTTGTAGCATACTTGGAATTATGTTGTGAATTATTTTCCGCAATTTTGCTATTAACAGAAAATACAAAAATGAAATGGGCTATTCATACCCGCTGAATGTAGGTTTGTTAACGTAATAATGAGTCATTATTGCAAATAATGAATATATATATATATTGAATATAACAGCAATGAGCCTATGGTATAATGGCCTATGAAAAATGTTCATGTTATATACGTTGGAGAGTACTTTTCTCTTGTTAAACTTCTTGAAACAGATCTATATCAGATTTGGAATGTCATTCTGTGGATGGCAATTGTTCCATTTTCATCAGTACAGTACATGATTTTGTGTATAATTTGAATTCATCAAATCAGTAACCATTTCATATTTCCTAGTTACGTATTTTTGTTATGTGTTCTTGATAGATAGGAAAGAAAGAAATTCCCTCTCTCCAATTTCATTGACTTTTAAAATGTATCAGAATTGCCAATTACTGTAATTTTATATCTTGGTTTAATTCAAGCACAGTCAGGTGGTTGCACATAAGAATAATTGAATTTCTATTCGTTATGTTATAGCTTGTTCAGTGTGTCATAAGCAGGAGAACATGAATGAAGGAGAATTTAAGTCAATGATTACTTCCACGAGACTTTCAATCAATGGAGTCAAAGCAAAACTTAGGGTCAGTGAATTTTATTTTTAGGAACTGAATGAATCTTTCATTATCAGTATGATATACTTTGTGATTAGTATTAGACTTCAAATTGTGTACTGAGTGTTCATAAAATCATGTTACAATTACAATTTTGTTATGAAGTCAGTTGTTGATATATCCTAACCAGATTTTTATTTGTTTTGATTATGTAACTCCTTTAATTTAAAGAAACTGAATATGGTGTCGATAAACTCCCTTTGTAATTTAATAAAATTTAAGACTTTATGAACATCCTCTATTTTAAAATGTGCTTTAAAAACATAGAAAATTGGCCAATATGCGGAAATTGACTTCATGAGAAGAGCTATGTCACAATTTCGAAAGGTAGTGGATAATGTTGACCCCCAAAATATGGGCTTTAAATAATAAAAAAGCCTTTGTCACTTGCAGGTACAAGAGGAAGATTTGTTGAATGAAGAATCAAAACTAGAGTTTGCAAACTTGGCTCAAAAAGTTGAAGACAAATTGCAGATATTGAATGAATTAATGTCAACTTCAAGCTGACAATGTTAAAAATAAACTTGTTAACAAGAATATATGCTGTTCAATTCTGTGTATATCCACTGTTTATATTTAAGAATAGCTTGTCAGAAATTGGTTGCAGTAGAGATTAGTATTAAATAAAGGTCTTTGTTTTGTTGAGGGAGTTTCAGGATTCTTGATGCTTTATATCAGTTCTTTTTAATTTGGGTTCAGTCGAGCTCAAAAGGTTCAGTGGGGGTTGTCCCTGGTCTTTAACCATGACCCTTTGAAACAGTTCCTACATCATGAAGTCATTCTATTATACAGCCTAATATTTATGTGAAAAACGCTAATAGTTCACAGCAGGTATCCAAACTTCCATGCTTTGACAACTTGTAAAAAAGGTGGAATATGTGTAGTTTTACACAAATAGAAATTTCAGTGGACCTGTCAATGACTGTTGTAACTTGGATCCCATTACATCAACTTCATCAAAATTCGTATCCACACATATGCATATGATATGGTCCCTTATACAGACAGTTGTGTAAGGTGGGGCAATGGGTTGGTGTGGCGAAAGTGGTAAGGGAGGAGTACACCAGAACTGTTTATACAAGGGGGTTTATAAGACAAAACAATATATATAAATAGGGACAACACAATACACCAAATACATATACCGGTAACCAATTGTAGTTTCTATATTCTCCCTCTTTCAAAGTCATGGTTTCGGAGTAAATACCCAGATGGTGGTGCTCCCGAAGTATGTACACCAAGACGGCGCACAGCCTGAATATAGTATTTCTACCAGGTTATGTTCAGGTTGTGCACCAATACTTCCGGAGCGCCCAGATGGCCACAATAAGACTTACAAAAATATCAGTACGCGCTAGTCGGATTCCAAATTTCGACATTACATGGACGAACTTCGCTCTCGTTGGAAAATTCAATCTCAAATGAGCTGGCCCTGGTATCGTGACCAAACCGGTATACCATGACTAAATAGCACACAGATTAGGCTATTTGTTAACCCTTTCCATGCGATTATTATTTTTTATTAATGGTTAAGATTTACATATTTATCCAAGAGAAGGGAAGAGGAAACAAGAGAATTTTCCCCGACCTTTGACCCCGAAAAATTCTCCCTATTTTACCATTGCAAAATTTTCGGGTTTATTTTAAGAGTGGTTTCGCGAGTTGGCACCTGTAAAATGGGGTATGTGTTTCAAACCATCATTGTGATCCATCGTCTACGGCAATCTGTTTTTTAAAAGTACCGGTAAAGAATTTTAGCTCAGTCTATCATAGCTATTTCTACACTAATTTTTTATTACTGCAATTAAATTAAAACTCCTAAGAAGACAGAGTGATCATTGATTGAATTATCTTAGTTTTTATATTTAAATTCCCGAAACACAACTGAAACCAACGAATAGAGTTCAGAAACGCGAAAACTGAGGTAATGTTTACGACCACGCCTGTCAGAGCGGATGCTAAAATGGAGCATTGTTACGTCACTTTTTGCATCTTGCTGATTGGCTAATGTCACGAAGTAAACAAGAAAGTCGATGCTCGGGGAAAGGTCCATAAGACTGATTAATCATATGGCGTACCACGACCTCTCATCTAGTTTCCAGTCCTTGTTGGGAATTAGTGGCCAGTTCAGATTAGTGGTGGTGGAAGCCGTAACAGCACGGGCAGCACCCACTGGATTCAAACATGCGAACCCAAGCAGGGTAATCAGATTTACGATGGGCGTTATCACCCACTGGATTCAAACATGCAAACCCAAGCAGGGTAATCAGAAGTACGATGGGCGTATTCCCAATGCTTAGCGCGATGAGCCTACCATTACACTATGGCAACTAAAACCAACGAAGAACTATAGCTGCAAAAAAACGAGAACATTTATTATAGTTTAGCAGTGGTAAGTGCGAGGCAGTTTGCAGAAACATAATGATAACAAAACAAATTAAACAAACATAATATTTATCTATAATAAGGATTTGCAAACTCAGTGGTCGTCAACAGGGTTAAGGCAACAAGGTGTATCGTATTTATCATACACAAAATGGCAGTGTTTTGCAACCGTAATCAAATATTTTTTCTCAAATCAAAAATAATAACCAGGGTGTGATAACTAGAACTTGGTACAGAAAAAATTTTTGATAAAGGTCGCAAACCACTACACATACATGATTGGAAAAAATAACTCTTTGATTCATGATTGGCCATTGGAATGTGGATCAATGTTATTAGATGAAAATGTGCTCGAACATAATCCACTCGTACTAGGACTACCATTATCACTCGACTGTGATATTCTAAATGGCCGTCTTACACGTCTGTGTGCATTTCTTTGTCTAGTCCGTGCTGCTTCATTTTCAGAATCACTGGTATCGCTTGAACACGCTTTGACAGACTCTCGCTCTTTTCTCCTACGTTTGGTCTTTACTGGAGAAATTACTTTCGCGCTCGACACTGATGTCGAAGTGGTAGGTTGGTCATCTTCAAGTTTTTCGTCAGAGTTACTACAAGATGTTCGAGGAAGTTCAGAACTGGACTTCTCTTCAAAGTCTTGTACCCGCCAATCACTATCCTCCTTCACCTTTTCTCGTAATCTCCGAAGCTTCTTTTGCGATGCTTTTTGCGCAGCTATAATTGTTAATTTGATATCAATATAACCATCGAAGCAGTGAAGAAGAGGCATTGGACATAAATATAAGAGGGTAATGATCGTAGGGTTAAACTAAAAGAGTGAATAAAAAAAAAAGCATAACCCATGAGTTACTCCTACAAAAATGAAAAAAAAATACATTTAACTTCTGTTTGCATGTGAATTGTGAATGCACCCAAAAGTTTCAATAATCTAGGAAGATCTACACCAAAGTGATGTTTTCTCCAGAATATGTTTCAAATGATTCTGCTTTTGGGGTCACCAGTACAATGCACTGTCATGTGCCAAGTGCATAAAGAATTATAAAAGCTATATTCACGTCAAAAATATTTGAATACTTTCAAAACATAGTAGCGCTCTATGTTTCAGTGTTTGCTTGGCTTGGACATTATTCAGAGCAAAATTGTGAATTTTTTGGCTAAATAGCTAATTTGAAAATGAGTAAAACTAAAAAATATTAACCTGATTTATTAGTTGTTGCATCACCTATTCCCAAAGTATCAAGACTTGCAGGTCCTCCATCATCGCTCGTCAAACTGTAGTTTAAAAGTTTTATATTGCAGTAAGAAAAATAAATGCTGGGCTAACTTTATATCAGGCATTTTTGTTTATAAAACTGTGAGCAGCCTGGCTTGCAATATTGCCCCAAACCATTTGTGATTTTTATCTGAAATATTTTATTTATAACGTCAAGCTAAAGACAAGTTGTAGCCAGAATAAGAATTTAAATATGATTTATTAACTAGATGTATGTAGCTATTTTTATGAAAAAATTAGTTGCCTCTGATTAGGTAGGTTACCTCTCTGAATTGGTCGTATTTTCTTCATGAGTGATGAAGTAATCATTCCTAGAAAAAGGTTTAAAATTAGGTTGGTGAGTGAGAGAGAGAGAGAGATTAATTTTCCTTATTAGGATATGGAAGCATAAAAGGCCTTAGGAACAGGAATCTGGATTTCAAGCCGGGATCGCAAGAGTCAAAGCTGAAGAAAAAAATTTGAGCTATTGTGAGTCTGAACTTCAAACTCCTAATGGCGGTAATCAATGTCAAAATTTACAGCAGGAACTAATGAAGCTTGATAGAGCATTTTCAATATGAAATTATATAAGGCTAGGCTTGTGGTCAAAAATAGAGAGATAGATCAGTCAGGAATTGACTGGAGTACCGTAGTTATTTGAGTGGGTCGCAGTTTGAACAAGACTGGGGCAGGTTGTTGCAAATGGAAATGTGAAGATTAATTGAGAACTAACGGGCCAATTAGTGTACCTGCAGAGATACTTCAAAAAACTAACAGATTCACTGAATCAAAAAAAAAAACTATTACTCACAACTGAATTGCCACTGATGAATCACAGTTTGATGAATCGGAAGTCCTATCGTCAGCTTCATGTTGAACAAGACTATCAAAAAATGCCAGCATTTTGGGATCTTCCTCCATATCTTCAGCATGATAATCATGTACCATTCCGGAACTATGAAAATGAGATTATCATATAATTTATGTTGGAATAACCCCCTCTGTGAGACATATACAATGGGACTAATCCACTGACATATGGCTAAGTCAAATCCCTATAACAAAAAAGTGTATCCTAGTTATATGAGAGTCTTTCAAATAGCAGCTTGTATGAAAAATTCCCATATGGTATACTTCTGACAGATTGACAAAAAAAAAAAAAAACTACTTTAACAATTCTTTTACTTAAAAGTATTCATAACCTTACAGTTATATGTACCTTACTACTTACTAGCAAAAAAATATTTAATATAACAAACGAGAATATCGGTCGGAGATCGAAGACTTATCGATCGAGGGTTAGGGGATCCCCCAAAACAGCGCTCTTACTCCACAGTGACACCGTGTGTCCTATCACTAATTGATTAATGACTCACTAATTATACGACATAATTCATCGAAAACCAATAGGCTTCTGATCCGAGCTATAATGAATGCACATGCAAAATTTGGAGCAGATTCAACCTCGCTTTCGTGAGATATCCCGTGCATCTAACAGACAGACAAACAGACAAATACCTATCAACATACTTACCGATTAAAATCGATAAGTAATGAACAGACAATATTCTATTGAGCTACCAACCTTTCAAATATAAGCTGGATGTATTCATTGTGAGAGTATCGTTTTCGAGGTTTTTCACAGCTTGGAAAAACATCACCACCACCCATAGGTAAACGCTCTGTACTCCATAACTTGACCATTTTTTCAACACCACAGGATACAAGAAGATTTGAATGTCTGTTGAACCTTACCTACAAACAGCTTTTGAGTCAATAATATAATAACAATATTCATTCAGTAGAACCAGGGCTTCCCACCAGGGATAGGCCAAGATTCTGATCCAGAGTAAGATTCATGTCGAATCCATGAATATTCAGAACTTCAATTCGAAATCAAATGCTTTACAATGCCAGTTTCCTAAATGGACACTCCGAATTAGTGAGAGCCGGCAGACAGAGAAGCTCACCATAACTAAGGTGGGTATTGCCGAACATTTGTTTCTGGACTGTTGCTAATAACAAGAGTATGAATTCAAAATGAGTTTTCTAAAATAGCAGCTGAGGGTTGCATCATTGGCCAAGTACATATGTGATACTGTTTAAATTGCTGACTTGAATCATGGACTTTTGCAATTCAACATGATGTCACATACTAATAGGATTCAACTCAGGTCCTTGACCTGTTTCTCAGATTCCATAATACCATCCATAATAAGGTTATTATTTGCTCACTACTTGTGTGTTATTAAATGAATTTTGTCCTCGTTTTCAAGATTCGTCATAATTTTGAGGCTACGTCTACGATTTGTCCTAAGTTCGTCAATGAAATAAACGCAACATAAATTACACTGATAGAAAGCGAAATGCACTAAAAGAAATAGAATATACCGTAAATTAAATAATGCTATATTATGGGTTTTAATACTGTTGCTGCAAGTGATCGTTCATTATTAAATCTACAATAAAGATTTAACATAAGTTCCTACTTGATTAACAATAGACCGGTGTCCTCTTAGGACCTTGAAAGCATTGCCAACATGTTGACGTTTTTCTTCATATTCTCCAGGCAATTTCCACATGTAAACACCGAAGTCATCAGATCCAGATACAATATACTGTCGATTGAATATTAATATAAAATTTCACTTAAACAAATACCAACCACCAGATATATCTATGTAATAGCATTACCTCAAAGTATATAATTGTACTGCAGGAAAAAAGTGCAATAAACAGCATATGAGACCATAATTTTTTGACAAAAAGTGTATATATGGTTCATTTCGCTAAATTTCTGTTGTTGTTATGAAAATATCATTTTCCTTCGCAATGATAGAAAAATTTTTACTACTCAAATGATGGAGAAAGTCTCTAGAAGGCTATTCCTCTTATTTATTTTTTCCTCCATCAATTTAACGGTGCTCCCGAAGTATGCGAACCAAGATGGCGGACATCGGATCGTAACATGGGTAACAGGTTAGGGTTAGGCGATAATTTTTTTCCAATTTTCCTTATTTTAGTCCTATTATCAGTTCGAAGAAGAGCCAAGAGCCTCTCGTAGTATTTATACCTAAAATTAAGGCCTAACCCTAACCTAGTACACATATTACATTCCGATGTCCGCCATCTTGGTTCGCATACTTCGGGAGCCCCATTTAACATATGGTATTGCTTGACCACCTCCGTATTGCTTGTTCGATAATCTTTTCAGCGAACTCGATATGCGAAATTTGGTCCATATACCTTAGAACATTACTATGTTTTTTTTTATAGAAGTAACGCAGACACATACCTGATCTTTGTCACCAGCAAAACAGCAACTTTTCATTGTACAGTAATTTGAATATCCATCACAATCAAATTCAGCAATACTTTTCTGATATGTATGGTAATTTAAAAATATATCATACAATAAGCCAAATACAATAGTATCATTATTCCCATCACTTTACAAATTACAATTGATTCCAGCAACAGCTTTCAGATAAGCATTGTTGTCTTAGATTTCAATCAGCTAAAGATTTTTTCAAGAAATGAATTTTACGATATAAACATACATCTACAGTATAAACATATTTTTAGTCAACTCCATCAATTGTCTGAAAAATGAATGAAGTTCAAAACAAGAGCTTCATAAAAGATGTCATTTTACTTACACTATCACTGATATTATACAAGGCAAGACATTGTCGACGTCGGAGACAAAGTAATTGGTTCCCAGTCTTGTTGAATCTTGCACTCATGGCTCTTTGTTTTGAACCTTTTTGTCCATAATGCAGCACTTCCCTATAATCATGAAACAATTAAAAACATAAGATGATGAAATACTAGAATTTTCGAAAATTTTGATTTTTGTCGACTGAATTTTTCATGGTAGGGGAACACAGTCGACTTTGAAAGATTTATTCTTGTGTATATTAATTGAGAATTCTACTGTTTTAGAGGATTAATGCAGTAATAATTCATAAAAGTAAACATTTATATTTTTAAATTTTGAATCTGCAACACCGAGATAATGAATATATTTTGCATTCAATATTAGTAGAAAACACAAGCTAAATCATACTTTTTTGGGCTTCTTATATCCCATAATGCCATTCCATCTCTGGAATGTGATGTTGCAATCAAATGATGATCTACTGGACTAAACATAACACTATGAAAAGCTGATGATCTCCGTGCCAAACAAAGTCCATCTGCTTTTGTAAGCCTTGAAAAAGACAGTTATAAAATGAAAATGTGTTATCTACATTTACAAAACTTTAGGATCTGTTTCATAGTACTATAGTCCAAAAATCATTCAATGTATCATTCATCAGCATTTGCTCAAAACAAGGCCGGTAACTTCATAATATATATAACACATATGAATCTGCCATTCTTATCAATCTGATACTAAATAATCAATTACTAACAGATACTTAAGAACATATGCACAAATACCAGTCATAAAATAACAGAAAGTAGTTTGTTAATGTGCTAAAATAATTCTTCGCAATTAGATACCTGGTGTCAATAATGTGAACTGTGCCATCTTCACAAGCTGCAGCAACCAAATGTTCATTACTTGGACTAGAAGATAATCCATACACAGAGTTGTCACACATGAAAACATCCACCAGATTATTTGTGTGCAAGTCGTGAAGAATTACCTGACCATCATTACCTAAAAGTCCATAGGACTTATCAATCAAAACGTGGAATTCAAAATAAAAAAAGTACCGTACATTAAAAAATCCTACAATCGGCATTCTATTAAGAGAAAATAAATGACTTCAATTAAATATAACAATTTATAAACATGCTTTATAATCGAACTAACTTAGTGGTTCTCATACCATGATGATATGTGATTCCCTTTTCATCACTCCGTTGGCACGGTTATTTCATTAACCATTTTATTAATAAAAAACTAACAAAAGTAAAATAATATGCATGAAAATCAATCAAAGAATTGAACACATTACAGTTAATTAATGCAACCATCACAAATGGTACCAAGTGAAGTCTGCTGCTTGCGGCCCCCAAGAGGGCAGACGGCCCAGTTTGAGAAGCCCTGATGTAGCCAAAATACACTTTCAACTTTTGAACATATATACTCTTTCTCACCCGAAGATATCAATTTGTCATCTGTCATATTGAATGTTAAACAGAAAATGTTGGAAAGATGAGTCGCATGCATTACCACAGGTTGATAGTTCGGTTTTAACATTGCAAGTGTCAGGTTCCAAAGTACAACTCTTTTATCATCTCCACCTGCATACATGTATCAAGACAACATTACAAAAAGCAAAAAATATCTTAATAAGGAGTTAACTTACAATATAATACTAATAACAGTCAATTTAACTCTCAGTTGGTGTTACTTGAAATCAACTCTTTATTCGTGCATCTGTACTTTTGTGATAATGGATGCTGTATGACCGACTATTCCAATAACTCTAATAAGAAACCAATATTTTTATTTATTTTTTTATATTCAAGCAGCATACGAAATGGCGCTCCAGAAGTGTGTGTACCAATACGAATGTAACAAATTTTGTTCGCCTATTTTGCATCAAGTTGTGTAAACAGACTGAAACCTATGGGCAGGGGGATATTCACTTGGGTAACACAAACAGTCCCTGAACTCGTAATATAACTTCAAATGAGAAAAATTGGAATAAAATTATATCCTAACCCTAACCTGGATGCATACTACAGGAGTACCTACTAAATTACTACGTCGTTATTGAAAACACTATCTCACTTCACCTGATGCAAGAAAATTTCCATCTTCATTAGAGAATTCAAGAGCATTGATACATCCATAATGAGCATTCAAATTTTGAACATACATCGACTCAAAGTCTTCAAGTCTTTTCCTGAAGGTATTTGTGAGTGCTTGTTATAATATGTAAGTTATGCCCACAGTTTAGATTTATCGAGAATTTCAGATTTCTGATGGGAATAATTATAATAAAGTCAAAAGTTCTGACAGAACTCAAAAACATCAAATTGACATTGGCAACAGACAATTACAGAAAGCTTGCATGTGCCGAAGTTATTGTTATTAAAATTTATTTCTCACATAGTTCAGTGCTGAAGTAGGATTGAAAATTGCTTTAGAGACAATGATATTTATCCCAAGTACCTAACCTCGAAAGTAAAAGCACATGTTATATGCAGCCATAGACAACCAACCTGTGGAAAAGACAACTTGCACGAGTATTTCCAGAAATTTGGAGGTTTTTGAGATAAATAGTGGGATGGCGTTCCATTTCAGTTTTACTTATGTTTGTTCAAACTCCAAAAATAAAGCAGAAACGAGAATGTCTAAAAAAAATAAACAAGATGTAATTTTCTACTAATAAAAGGAAGGTAGAAATACCTAGCTAGTTTCCTATTTTTCTATGATGAAACATACCAAAAATAAATGCACCAATGGCATAATTACCTACAAATATATTTTTTCTCTATTCCCATCCGACACTTGAGTTTATGCAACGAGCTTTGTTATAAATAATAATGCAATACAGTAAACTACTTCAGGCTGTACAAAGACACTTTAATGCTTTATTAAGAGAACAAGTTTTTTTGAATCTAATATTTCAATTATCCAAGCCACTTTAATTCTTGACTTAATTTTAAAAAGATTCAACTTATGTGAGTCCTAGTGTCTATAATATTATTATTGTATTATTGTGCTACAGTATAACTGTATCGAAGGCTTCTTTTACCTTCCCATGTTTACCTTCAGCGATCACTGGCAGACTGGAGGCTGCCAGTTATACCTGTATATCAGCCCTTTTTATCAATCAGTAGACTACATAATCTATTTCAGTTTTTCAGTGTTGATTGTAAAGCCTGGGAATACCGTATATATTATATAATATGATCAACTCACAAACGCAGAAATTAGAAAGCCCGACTCCACAGCAATCTCAGAATCTTCAGCAATTTGTTTCGTTCAGGTGTGACTGTCTGGACGCGAATTAATTCGTAAGTGAGTTTGGTGTATTCTCCAGTAAAGCCCAACGCCAGTAATCTATGTATCTGGTGAACAAGATGGAGTCGTATTGCAGCATACAGAGAGTTCCACTAGTTTCTACTGGTTAAAATGTGATGTGCCTCGCTCGGAGACGCTGGTTACAAGAGCAGAAATTTTCCAACCGGAAAGTTCAAGGTTCGAAGATCATCCTTGCACCAGCTGCGTTTTTCAAGAAAATGAACACACAAGTGAAGTTTATGCGATTTGGACGAATCCAATGCATTAACTTTATAATATGATACGATAGGAATTACATATTTATCCCGGGGGAGAGGAAAGTCGATAAGACGGCTTAATCATATGGCGAACTACGCTTCTCGTCCGGTTACCAGTCCATATCGGATATGGGATTAGCTAGCCAATTATTTGTGTTCGGAGGCATGAACTTGTAATCAGTAGTTTCTTTTTTCACCATACATGAAATACACTAGATGAATACAGAATGTAAAAAGAAGCAACAACGGTAATTCGGGGTGAAAGGAGTCGCGAGAAACCAATACTGGTTATCGAGCGGCGACACCTGTGATAAAATCTAGCAGTAATTAAAATACAATGAAAAAGTCAAACAATGATTGACAGAATATAAGGAGAAATAGAAATCGAGACGACCTGAATATCCCGAATGTCTATTGAAGGAATGCATTGCTCGCACCAACGTTTTTGTATCAAAAAAATTTGATTTTTTACGTGTTCAGAGCTGAAGTAGAACTTTATCGACCTCTGAATAGCCAGCCAAAATTTCAATTAAGCCATAGTCTGGTGTCAAATTTGTCTCAGTCAAGAGTTGAATGTAGATTTCTACTACTCTACAGCTCTGGGTAGGATATTCTCCAAGTAGGATATCTGTAAGATTTCATATATACAATTATAAATCTTAACAAATAATGTCTATTACAATTGAATATTCGCTGTACAAGCAGAGCCGTTATATAATGGCTATGGTACAAGTATTAATTAAGCTCATTACGGTAGTGCAGTCGCGTTTGGCAGTCATGGGGTGCAGTCGCATTTTTCGGCGGTGCAGAAGGGCTTATATGATGACAATGAACCAGCACTGAATGAATATCGACAAGTAAAGACTGAAATATGAAAACGAGATTGCAGCATTAAGGCAACATACAGACATCATAACAGAATTTAAAGATAACAAATCAGGAATATGGAGAAGAGTATGGAATTGAAACGCGATTGTCAGCAGATACTCCAAATGCTATTACTATAATTTTACTTGAATAATAAATGAGAATTCAACTATATATGCGTAAATAGTTTGTAGTGTAACTTGATATGACCATACCAATGCGCAACGTTTTTAAACATTCATCTAATGTAGGGTTATCATATTTTTGTGACTTCAAATCGGGACGCCTCGAAAGACAACGACCCCATAGCTGTGATTTTATAACTTCACATTACCGATTTTACTACATAGGCCTACATTCCTACATTTAAAGCTGTCCTGGCTGTCTTTATTGACCATATTTCATGCGCTACCGGTACAAATAATTCGAATTTAGACTAATTAGTATTGGTTTTACATGCGATACGTCTGCCATCAGCGGGAAACGAACGCATTCACCTTCAGTAAGTAGGCTAGCGCTGCGCTACACAGAAACAACAGTAACGAGAACATGTTTGTGTATTATGCTGGAAAAGCGGGACTTTTGGCTAACTTATTGGGACGGCGGGACAAAACGCTGAAAAGCGGGACTGTCCCGCTTAAAGCAGGACGTATGGTAAGCCTAATCTAATGGCATATTTTTGTTCTGTCTGTGTGTACTGTAGGCTATACTGTTTTAACAGTGCTGGCAAGAGAGAGAGAGATTTATTGCCACAAAAACAAAATCAACACTTGTATAAACTTAATACAATAAAAAAAATATTTCAGCAGTAATAATAGTGATAGTGAAGGTCATCTAGGCTCCCGACCCTTGGGTATACTTTAGTGGTGGTAGCATAAAAGTCATAATGGGGATTTTTATGAGTGTCCGTATAGAGAACTTGCACGGGTCACGTGACCTTGTTTACTGGACGGCAATAAATCAAAAACGTCCATTTGGCTCCTGTCAGTTGCAAGTCGGATTATACGTTTCCGTTTTGTTTGGCTGTTGAAAATGGTTATTTCGTATTTATCCGCTGGCTGTACGTATAGTATAGACAACGAAATGGATCTTCAGTCATATTCCACTGTTTCCAAAAGATCCGGAACGTCGCGCAATGTCGATATCATCTATTGGCAGGACTGCTTGGTGTCAAGTCCAGAAGCCATCTCACTTGTGTTTCACTGTTTGCGGACAGCACTTCGTTGATGGTGAGTAGTCATAATGTGCCGTTATCAATTTTTTTAAATATTCATAAGCTCCCTCATTTCAATGGAAAGCAGATGACAAACTACTGTTATTGGTAGGCGTAGGCCTACTTGCAGACTTGAATCGTATAAGGTATTAATCAATAATTGCCATAAGGTATTGTTTCCCTAGTTAGCAGGTAATCTATTAGTAAGTGTGAAAAGTTGAATAGATAACTTAACTCCAGTGCTAATGCAAAAAATAACCAAAATTCAATTGAATTCTCCATCTAAGAATACGCTCGCCACCGCAAATCTCATCCCCCTGGGATTTTCACAGGTTTCAATCCCATGCGGGGATAGGTATGTGCGAGGGGATTGCAGCTCTCTTCCCACTGAGGGTGGTTCACACGACCGCTGGTCGATTACGACATCCCCCACCATCAAGTCCATGCAAAAACAAATAACTGGCTAACTAATCCAGACATAGAATGGTAATCGTACGATGTTGCACCTTGCAATCTGTCCCCAACCACAGATAAATTCTATCCTAAAAACTACCCACATTGGTAGGCATAGTTGCGTTTTAAATCGAAAGAAATCTTCATTAATGGTCAGAAGGTGTTGTCTGATTGTTTTGTTAGTTAGCAGGTAATTTATTACTGATCTGATACACAAACTTGGCACTGTCAAATGATGATTAGTGTTTAATTTATTTTCAGGAAAAACGGAAGATAGCCCATTATCAGCTGCTTATATGTCCCATCGATATTTGAATTTTCGCCATCCCCAGAGAGGAAGTGAATAGATAGAAAAAGGGGGATTTTGAAGAAAGGCAAAAGGCAGGACCATTTCAATACATTCTGTTAACTTGTATGCGTTGCAATATTACTTTGCAGTTGTTAGCATAAACATTTAATGTGTCTTTCGACTAGACCTACCACACTTTAAAAGAAGCCGCCTACACCCCTTTTCACTAGAACCATAATACTGTAAAATATTTGATAGAAATTACCCCCGAGGCATCATATCTTCCATTTGAAAGGGCTGTGGAGGCAGATACATTTTTTACTCTAAATTATGGAATGTTACTTCCAGGTTATCTTATCCTTGCTTATAGATATCTTGAGGATAGTGACTCTAACTGACCCATGCATGCCACACTGAAAATTCTCTTGTGTACCGATAAAATTAGGCTGTTGGAGTCTTCAGACCTTGAAAACAGTCGAATCTGAGCACGATGGATTCATGTGAAACACGTAATATGCATTTATAGGCAAAAATATCCCATCCTGAGCAGCACCGATTCGCAACCTCCTGCCTATGGAATCAAAACATTAGACAAATTGGTGTACTGTGCGCATTCAGAAATCTTTGTGAACCAAGTGTGCCTTTTGACTAAAGAAAATTTAGCATTGAAATGGTCAATCTCAATCAACCCAGTATCTGCAGATAAAACCAATTGTTTTTTAAAAATACATTTTTGATGTGCTTTATTTTCAAATATAATTCATAATTACTGTAAAGTGTGTGATACATTTGGTACCATGAATACCATTTTCAAATTAGCTTGGGTTACACCCCTCTCAAATAAAAGTTTAGACTCTTAAGTCATATCTCATAATATTCTTCAAACAAAAGGTTGCGGCTAGCCGGCTACCCATTAGAATTTTCTTTCAGATCACAAAGTCCCAATATTACGCCTCGCTAAGTTTCATTGGCAACTGTATCTGGTTGTAGTATCGGTGTCCAACTTTAGACTGAAACCTTCACTACCAGACCCACCGAAACAAAATTTTTTTCTTGATAAGGTCGTCTTCGTTAAAGCACAATGGACACTTCATCTCCACCAATCCACAGTAATCACAAGTTATTTTGTCATTACGATAAGCATCAATAAATGGATACTGAGGATGTATTATTAAGTCACGCAAGCTGAGGTCTTGTGCCACTGTGGTCTTGTTGCAACTTATACTTTGCCATCCATCTATTCCATGGTCGCACCCATATCTGTAAGATAAAGGATACAGATAGAGTTTTCATAAAATCCAACGATCAGAGAGTGTGAAATTTATGTCCATATCCCACCAGTGGTGGTGGGCCACCACAGCCACTAGTCGTAAATGAATTTGATTCCGGGTAGCATATCTTTTTTACCAATGACAATAAAAATCCATTTTGAATCAGTTGTACAAACACCATTAGGATAGGATTTATCTGGGGGGAGCCAGTTATTTGTTTTCAGAAGCATGGACTTGGATGGTGGGGAATGGTCGTAACCGATCAGCGGTCATGTGAACCACCCTCGGTGGGAGTAGAGCTGCAATCCTCTCGCACATAACTAGCCCCGCGTGGGATTGAAACTTGTGAAACTACCAGGGTGATCAGAGATGCGCTGGCGAGCGTATTCCTAGATGGCGAATTGAATTCTGGTTATTTTTGCATGACCACTGGTGTTTAGTTATCTATTATCTAACTTTAGGTATCTATTCAACCTTTCACACATAGTAATAGATTACCTGCTAATTAGGGAAACAATACCTTATAGCAATTGATTATTAATTCCTTACTGTCTTACACAAGTCAAGTCTGCAAGGGAAGCGGACACGCCTAGGCCTAGGCCTACTAATAACAGTAGTTTGTCGTCTGCTTTCCATTGAAATGAGGGAGGGAGCTTGTGAATATTTAAAGAAATTGATAACGGCACACTATCACCACATTATCACTCACCATCAACGAAGTGCTGTCCGCAAACAGTGAAACACAAGTGAAAACGCTTCTGGACTTGACACCAAGCAGTTCTGCCAATATAGTCCGGCAGAATCGGGCCTCAACATTGTTTTGAGACATAAAGTTTTTTTTATTGTTTAGATATAATGTATATGACATATATAATGATACCCAGGTGGGTGTGGAGTATATTATGTGGAGCAATTTTTTTTAAGTGGATTTAAAGTATTCGGTCCAAGATGACGCACATCC